TTTTGTAATTGACTAAAAGAAGCAGACAACAAGAAAATTAAGTTTGAAAAAGGTTACGTTTTTTCTGTGAGCCAATGGGGTAAACCTAGGTAACCACAGGTTGTTTTCCCCACAGGTGGGCAGGACCGCAACGTTCTATCTAATACCGACTGGGACTATAATCCGAGTCGATATTCGCGTCATAAGAAGGAATTCCCCTCGACCACGCCAACAAATTGGGGAAACCAAACATTATTTCCCATTGACCCCCATTGTATGTTTTTGCTGTGAGCTAATGGGGTAACCACAGGTTGCTTTCCCCACAGGTGGTCGGGGCTGCAACGTTCTATCTAATAGAGGGTTGCCAGGTGACATACAACGCCTCCTGGTGGCCATGTTGGAAGACCACCCACCGCATCAATTCTTCCGACAACAGCTGAGATGCTACCCCAAGCTGCATGATAACAGTGCCTACAACTAGTTGATCATCACCATGGTCAATTTCTGTCCAGTATTTGGCTGCTCTAACAAGGCAGGAAAGACAACTGGGAAAAAATATATTTTTACAGATTACCCGAAATCAGGAAACACCAAGGAGATAACACTCAATAACTGTCAGTAAAGTGAAGAAACCTTTTGGCCCGTCAAGACCTGAACCCAGACAGCTGTCACTACAGGGTCTGCTCCAATCATTTAATCACTGGTAAGTCTGATCGATTTCGAGTTTAGTTAAACTGTTATGCTAACCAGGTGTTGACAACACTAAATTAGCCAACATTAGCTAGCTTTGTAAATAGCTTGTATTCTAGCTATTAGCATGCGTCTCTCTCAGAGGCGGTGTGTGAGTTTCAAGTTTTGGGGATCCTATTTTTCACCATAAAAATGCACCTTTATAATAAAGCATTGCATCCATCTATCATCACATTTGCTGACTAATGTAAGCCTACTATTCCTAATGTGATGAGTAGATTGGATAGTCATAATTTATTAGGCTATTAATATAACTCAATCTAATCACTATGCATGGCTTATCGTGTAGTGGCATAGGCCTATAGGCTGTATCAGAAAATGTGGCCTTTGATAAACACATTTCATGCAATTCTATTACACTTTATATGAATGGAGACATTAACAAAATCTTTTTTAATATGACAAATCACAGGGTAGCCTAGGCCTACTCTGCTGACACTGACAAACAGATCAATAACAATGACCTTGTCTTGAATGCAACCATCTAATCTAGGTCTACGAAAAGGGGAGACACAAATTATACAATATGATGTTGATCTAGCCTAGAGGAGGACATTATTGTCCCAAAAAAACTCCAGTGGCACAGACCCAATGATAATTTGATAACTTTATTCATAAGAGGAGGGGAAATGTATGGACATTACAGCATAGGACAAAGGCCTCAATGGGATAAGGAAAACCTGATGTGTTGGTGATTGGTTGTTCCAGCCCAACAATAGATTTAATCTTTATATGGCATTTAAACACCTGAATGAATTAAACACAACGAAACATTCAAGAGCTCTGGTGTTATAGGTGACCTGAAGAAGCGATATTCTAACATAAGGTGTGCTTCTCATTTGTTCATGTACTGTAGCTTCACCAGCTGACCTCTATCAAGACACCCATGACGACTGGATTCCTCCTGTGAAGATGAGCAATGCTGCAGCAGCATCAACTTCTACTTCTACTACTTCGTCCTTTTCCAGACATGAAAGAAGAACCTCCCTCAGTTATTCAAAATGGTTGACATTGCTGTGCCTTGGTCAATCTGTCATGACAAAAGTGCCCCCTTAAACCCAATGAAGGGTGTAGCAATAACTGCTGATTAAACAGAAACACAGTTTCACAGTAATTGATGTACACTTGTATGAATATATAAAATGTAATTTGGAATTGGCGTTGCATGCAATTATCATCAGCTGCAAAATGTGTTCACATGGCTGATATCCTAAGAAAGAGTGACAATCAAATAAAACGAATTGGAGAGCTAACAACTGAACAATTTTCATTTGCGAATACAACACATAAATATAGACAAATTAGAGACAGATTCCCTTCCCCTCTTTATTGCAGGATTGTGATCTGTGATTAATCAACATTGACAGTAGTTCATCTTGAATAATAAGTTTAAGTAAAACATTTAAACAAGTTTAAACACTTCACTTCAAAGAATCACACTTTATTTCATATAATCTTTAACTGTACAAGTCAGTTAACTCATATGTCTTAGTAACAAGTAGGCTATTATTACTAAAGCATTATTTCAGGTGAACAAAAAAAAGTCAATATCAGAGGTGGCCACCCTCGCTCCACTGATCCCTGATCTACTGGGTGAGCAGACTTCTATTCCATCCCAGCAATAGCACCCTTGATTATTCACTAATTAGGTTTAATAAATTGTATCAGGTGTGTTAATGATGGGCTGGAACAGAAGCCTGCACACCCAGCAGGGTTGGCCTGCTCCAGTTTTTATAGGTTTTTCATTGTGTGTGACTGTTAAAGGGTAGGCAGCATAAATGTAACCACATGTGACATATGGATTTGAATTAGAATACGTATTAAAAGTCCCAATGCAAAGTTACACCTCACTTTTCAATTTGTTGAATTATTACATTAAACTGATTTGCGGGGTGTGACGTAATATGGAGGACCAGGCAAGCCAGCCTATTCCCTATAATGTAAATTAAACCAAGTAATTTGTACTCATGACTTCTGGTTTCAATTAAATTTTCAGCCAACTTACAAGCAAATACTTTATGAATATATTACAAATCAGCTTGCAAGGTTGCTAGCCAACTAGCCTGCTAACGTTGGCCCTACTACACTAGCCTGCTAATGTTAGCTAATGTTAGCCCTACCAGCCTGCTAACATTACGTTAGCACTTCCTGAGTCAGCCAGTTGCTATCAACACCTAGCTTACAGCTGCATTAAAGTAAACCAACGTTTTTGAAATACATAACCATATCTAACCAGTTATCAAAGAATGTTATATGCAGTTAGCCAGCAAACTAGCTTAGCCAGCCAACGTTACAACAATGAAGACCAGCGAGCACAGGCAGTAACCCACAGAACATAACTAAAAAACCCTCCAGAAGATAAAAAAAAGCAAAGAGAGCGCGGAGACTTAAATATTGACAGTTGGCGCCCTTCATGGTAAGGACTGTAGGCTGAGTTAGCTACCAAACAAAGGGAGAGCCAGGGAGCGAGGCACTTCCGATGTGAAATAATTAGCTAGCTATTTTAGCCGGCTAACTAGCCTTGCAGAGGAAACTTCTGCCAGATATGAAATGTCAAAATGTCAGACAAAAGCAGCGACTCTGAGCATAGCAGGAACTCTGTTTCTACTGGGCCTGACCTTTTTGGAGAATCTGATGAAGACGAGGTGGTGTTAACGTTAGAGCAGGCAGCTGAGGCAGGGATCACTTTCCCGTTTCAATTTGAGCCCGAAGCAAAGCACTGAGAGCGCACTGGGGCTGAACCTGTAGTGCAGGATGCGGCTCCACGTAGGGAATGTTGATTGGTAATATGGCTAGCTAGTTTCCTACTGAAAATACACCATATAATGTCACTCCCTTCATAACTAGGTCTGAACCATGTACAAATAACTTGTTGTATGTGCTTGTGCAGCAGGTGTATTCCCATGTCGACAGCCATGTATTCTGTGTGCTGTCAGGAATATAAGCCGACAATGTCCAAGTTGATAGAGGAAGGAATGGGTTATATAATGCAACATTCTGGCTTCCCCACGGTGTGCCTGGATATTAATGTGCTGCGCACAATATCTACCGGCAAGACTACGCCCAGGATGCTGACAGAGTCCATAGTCAACACGAGTTAGTTATCCTATAAATAGAATCCTCACTAATTTAATGCAATAATGAAATCAAATAATGTTACACCACTCACCCTACCAATAGTAATAAACTTTGTCCCTTTCTTTTTAAAAGTTCAGACACGTTGCCTATTGGCAGTTCATCAGCTGGATTTGGGTCTATCTGGGGCGGTACAGCCGTGTGCCAATTACAGCGTGTGCAGTCAATGGATAAGAAATAGGTTACCAAACAAGGAGAACATGCCCTACACAGGCTTCAAATAATTCAAACACGTTTTTTACCTTTTTATTAACAATTATACAAGTATATGTTATACCAATACTGGTACACCACCTTTGTCATGGGTCTTTTTGTTGTTGTTGTCACATTCCACTTTGTGGTCACAGTCCCCATAATAATGATAGTTAATATACAATAACAATAATAATAACATTTTGAAATACAATAAATAATTGTATATATTTTCATACATTTCTTTATGGATGATTGAGTTCCACTCTGAAAGCTTGGCGGCAGCAACAGAGACGTGCAGCGCTTGGTCTGAGGAGTGTCAAGGAGCCCAACATCCGATGAACATAGACCGCGGGCGGGTGTGTACTGTAGGTGTGGAGTTAGGCTTGCTACCGGCTCAAAGTGCTGCTTACACTTATCCAGTTATCTCAGCTCAGTAATGGGAAGTAAACAAGGGTAGAGGGTACAAGGGAACAACTCTGTGTAAAAAAAAAACTAATGACAGGTACAGCTCTACCCTAGCAAACAGAAATCACCTGACAGCGTGACATTAGAAGGCTGATGTGGTATCAGATTCCTAGACAAAGAGAGAGGAATAAATACTTTAAATAAATAAAAAGTTTTAATATAATTTGACTTGATAAAATATGAAGAAATCTTACCGTAGGTGGGTTTGGTCTTCACTGGCCTAATTGTGTATCCACACTTCTTGGCCTTTGAGAAGGAGAGGGAGTACCTAACCAGGTCATCTTTTCTCACAACCTGCATCCGTCCACTGTTCTCATTATAATGCAAGGCTGAAAGGTATGATCTAAAATACAAAAATATTTAAAAAAGAAGCACAAGATACATTTGATGTGTTGGTGACAATTGACAGACACACAATGGAAAAAGGGCTTTGTTAAACTTGACTACACTCTTACTTTCAAATGGCTTTACCAACCTTAGGCGGTGTGCTTCAGCAAGAAGCGCAGCATCAGAGAGTGGTACGCCTCTAGCCCTGATGTCTGGTAGTCAGAGTATAGTTGCGAGATGTCCTTCAGGATCAAGGCACCATTTAGAATCTTCTCCAACCCCACTGAGGTGCCAGAGTCTGGAATTAAAATTAAAAACAGAATTAACCATTATATTCTAAGAGTGGCTGTTCTGTAAAAACAAAATGTACTACATGTAGGATATGGACACTTACTTGGTTCCAGCCACTCCTTTGTCCGTTCCTCTGTTTGCAGTGGTGTATGAGGACATGAAGGCAGAGTGGCATCGGTAGGTTGGTGTGTTGTTTTTGTATGTCGTACAGTGCAACTTTCTATTTTGGCACAATCTTTTCTCTGCTTTCTTTAGGAGTCACATGACCAGTAGTTCTGCCACAGCCCAACATCAGCACAACCTCGCTTGAGTGCCAGTGCGTCAATTTTATTGCGTAGAGCTAATTACAGTAGAAAACAGGTAATACAAAATGTACACATGGATGAGTTGAATAACCATACCCAGTAATATAATGACACAAAGCGAAGTATTTCTTACATTTAGCTAAATGCCAAATATTAGAGTGGTGCTTTGTATCTGGCATGTACTCCCGGATCCATTTAGCGATCTGCCAGTTTCGGTCAGAGATGAGGGTTCCAACCACCAGCTCAGCACTGTCAACCAACTGTTTAGACCTCTTCAACCCCTCCAGCTCACACCACGTATCGCTCATTGCTCTAAGAAACAAAACAAAAAACGGTTTTAGAATTTTTTGCAAATGTATTAATAGTAAAAACTGAAAAACCTTATTTACATAGGTATTCAGACCCTTTGCTATGAGACTCGAAATTGAGCTCAGGTGCATCCTGTTTCCATTGATCATCCTTGAGATGTTTCTACAACTTAATTGGAGTCCACCTGTGGTAAATTCAATTGATTGGACGTGATTTGGATAGGCACACACCTGTCTATATAAGGTCCCACAGTTGACAGTAAATGTCAGAGCAAACACCAAGCCATGAGGTCAAAGGAATTGTCCATAGAGCTCCGAGACAGGATTGTGTGGAGGCACAGATCTGGGGAAGGGTACCAAAATATTTCTACAGCATTGAACATCCCCAAGAACACAGTGGCCTCCATCATTCTTAAATGTAAGATGTTTGGAACCACCAAGACTCTTCCTAGAGCTGGCCGCCCAGCCAAACTGAGCAATCGGGGGAGAAGGGCCTTGGTCAGGGAGGTGACCAAGAACCTGATGGTCACTCTGACAGAGCTCCAGAGTTCCTCTGTGGAGATGGTAGAACCTTCCAGAAGTAGAACCTTCCAGAAGGACAACCATCTCTGCAGCACTCCACCAATCAGGCCTTTGGTAGAGTGGCCAGACGGAAGCCACTCCTCAGTAAAAGGCACATGACAGCCCGCTTGGAGTTTGCCAAAATGCACCTATAGGACTCTCAGACCATGAAAAACAAGATTCTCTTGTCTGATGAAACCAAGATTGAACTCTTTGGCCTGAATGCCAAGCGTCACGTCTGGAGGAAACCTGGTACCATCCCTACGGTGAAGCATTGTGGTAGCAGCATCATGCTGTGGGCATGTTTTCAGTGGCAGCGACTGGGAGAATAGTCAGGATCGAGGGAAAGATGAACGGAGCAAAGTACATAGAGACCCTTGATGAAATCTTCTCCAGAGCGCTCAGGAACTCAGACCGGGGCGATGGTTCACCTTCCAACAGGACAACGACTCTAAGCATACAGCCAAGACAACGCAGGAATGGCTTCGGGACAAGTCTCTGAATGTCCTTGAGTGGCCCAGCCAGAGCCTGGACTTGAACCCGATCTAACATCTCTGGAGAGACCTGAAAATAGCAACGCTCCCCATCTAACCTGACAGAGCTCGAGAGGATCTTCAGAGAAGGATGGGAGAAACTCCCCAAATACAGGTGTGCCAAGCTTGTAGCGTCATACCCAAGAAGACTCGAGGCTGTAATCTCTGCCAAGGGTGCTTCAACAAAGTACAGAGTAAAGGGTCTGAATACATATGTAAATGTAATATTTCCTATTTTTATTTGTAATACATTTGCTAACATTTCTAAAAACCTGTTTTTGCATCGTAATTGTTGGGTATTGTGTTTAGATTTGAGGAAAAAAACAAGTTAATCCATTTTGAGAATGAGGCTGTAACATAACAAAATGTGGAAAAGGTCAAGGGGTCTGAATACTTTCCGAATGCACTGTAAAATCTTATCTGAACAATTTCTTGTTGATTCTCTCCTGTTCAACAGTGAATGTCCCAAGTGAATGTCCCAAACTTCGCAGAATGATCGGGACTAATACTCTTTCCATCTCCTTCCAAGACCAGATCTCCACCCATTTCCTTGAGGGTTTCGATGGTGCCACTCTGCTCAATATCCCATGTCTTGAGAACTGCTGGCTTAAGGTGGTTATGCTGTTGACGGAAGAATGTGCTGCGGTGAATGGTGGCCACTTCCATCATGCCGGCATTCGGAGGACTTTGGTTGGCATACAACCTGACACCAAAATGGCAGCAGAAAGGAGCAGATTGCCTGCTGGCACCCTCCCGATCACAGGCTGGCTGTACCATTCCCTCAAATGGTTGCAATACCTGGAGATATGTGTGATGTTGAGCGCTGTTCCTCTGGCTGTTGACATAGTCCCTGGACTCTCCGCACCACACCCAACACAGACTTGGAAAAGCTTCATCAGTTGGGACTGGAACACAATCAACTTATTTTCCTTGTCCAGACTGGCTGAAGCCTCAGGCTCCCTGAGAGTGAATAAAATATGTCAGACATTATCATAACATCAGACATTTTTACAGACCCTGTAGGGCAAACAAAGTTGTATTCACAGTTCAAAATATCCACACCACTCCTCACCCAATGATCACATCATCTACCTTATCCTCAGCTGGGATGTAGTCCTCATCCTCCATGTCATCTCCATTGACATAGATTTCCCCTGTAGCTCTGTTGGTAGAGCATGGCGCTTGCAACGCCAGGGTTGTGGGTTCGTTTCCCACGGGGAGCCAGTATGAAAATGTATGCACTCACTAACTGTAAGTCGGTCTGGATAAAAGCGTCTGCTAAATATTATATTATTATGATAATAAATTATTGGTATTGACAGCTTTTTCACAATAACTGCCTGGTCATGAGGTGAGGTGAGCAGTATAAAATGTGACATATGAGAAGACAAAGGAACATAATATCAAATCCAAAGTAACTAGGGCAGATATATAAGATGATGACTCACCAATGCTTGTTGTATGTGGCATTAGAAATGACACCTGTGTGCCTTTATGACACGGTCCAGTTGGTCCCAATGCATGTGATGCAACCGGCAATGCAGACTAGAGAGGTACAGAGACTACACAAGAAAGTCCCTCAATAAGAAAAGGCTCATCCTGGACACTGGGTGCTAGACACAAGATGTGAGGGGAGAAAATGTAGTAAATATGTACAATTATCTAAAGATGTCAGACCAGTAGTTAGATTTAATCATCATTCAACATCCATTTATTGCCTATTTTCACAACAATGATTTCTATTTTACATTATGTGATCTATGATTTGAATGTTCATGTGAATGTTTTTAATTAGGCTTAGGTAATTTTTATCCCTCAGTATATCTTATCTCACAGAGTAATATATCAGCCTAACGCGTAATGTATTCATAAAGATTAGCTATCATTTTATCACATCATAAAAGCAATATTATATATATACACTGCTCAAAAAAATAAAGGGAACACTTAAACAACACAATGTAACTCCAAGTCAATCACACTTCTGCGAAATGAAACTGTCCACTTAGGAAGCAACACTGATTGACAATACATTTCACATGCTGTTGTGCAAATGGCATAGACAACAGGTGGAAATTATAGGCAATTAGCAAGACACCCCCAATAAAGGACTGGTTTTGCAGATGGTGACCACAGACCACTTCTCAGTTCCTATGCTTCCTGGCTGATGTTTTGGTCACTTTTGAATGCTGGCGGTGCTTTCACTCTAGTGGTAGCATGAGACGGAGTCTACAACCCACACAAGTGGCTCAGGTAGTGCAGCTCATCCAGGATGGCACATCAATGCGAGCTGTGGCAAGAAGGTTTGCTGTGTCTGTCAGCGTAGTGTCCAGAGCATGGAGGCGCTACCAGGAGACAGGCCAGTACATCAGGAGACGTGGAGGAGGCCGTAGGAGGGCAACAACCCAGCAGCAGGACCGCTACCTCCGCCTTTGTGCAAGGAGGAGCAGGAGGAGCACTGCCAGAGCCCTGCAAAATGACCTCCAGCAGGCCACAAATGTGCATGTGTCTGCTCAAATGGTCAGAAACAGACTCCATGAGGGTGGTATGAGGGCCCGATGTCCACAGGTGGGGGTTGTGCTTACAGCCCAACACCGTGCAGGACGTTTGGCATTTGCCAGAGAACACCAACATTGGCAAATTCGCCACTGGCGCCCTGTGCTCTTCACAGACGAAAGCAGGTTCACACTGAGCACGTGACAGACGTGACAGTCTGGAGACGCCGTGGAGAACGTTCTGCTGCCTGCAACATCCTCCAGCATGACCGGTTTGGCGGTGGGTCAGTCATGGTGTGGGGTGGCATTTCTTTGGGGGGCCGCACAGCCCTCCATGTGCTGTGCGCCCCCCCCCCCCCCCCCCCCAGGCTTATCTGGGTGTGAGGTATAGAAATCCCGTAAGAGGGAGGGGTCCAGAATGTGATGGCGGGGAACCCAGCAGCGCTCCCCATGCCCGTATCCCTCCCAGTCCACCAGGCACTGCCAGCCACGACCCCGACTGCGCACGTCCAGAATCCACCGGACGGTATAGGCAGGATGGTCATCGATGAGCCGAGGGGGTGGAGGAGCTGCTGCAGGAGGAGACAGGGGACTGGAACAGACAGGTTTAATCAGGGATACGTGGAAGATGGATCCTGAGAGAGGCTGGGAGTTTCAGGCGCACCGCAGATGGGTTAATGACACGGTCAATTTCAAAGGGACCAATGAATCGGGGGGAAAGTTTCTTCGATGCCACCTTCAACAGTAGGTCCTTCGATGAGAGCCATACCCTTTTTACCCGGGGTGTAGACTGGAGCGGAGATCCGGCGATGGTTGGCTTGGGACTGGGTCCTGTCGGAGGCACGAAGAAGGGCAGCCTGGGCTTTCCTCCAGGTACGGTGACAACAGCGCAGATGGTCCTGGACAGAGGGAACCGCAGCCTCAACCTCTTGGCTCTTGGGCGGGGAACAAGGGGGGTTGGTAACCCAGAGCACACTCGAAGGGTGACATACCTGACGAGGCGTTGGTGAGGGTGTTGTGGGCATATTCAGTGCAGGGTAGCTGAGTGCTCCAGGAGGAAGGGTTAGCAGAAGTCACGCAGCGTAGGGCAGTCTCCATCTCTTGGTTGGCCCGTTCGGTCTGGCCGTTGGTCTGGGGGTGATATCCAGAAGAAAGACTGACATTGATACCAAGAACTGGACAGAAGAATCTCCATACCTGGGAGGTAAACTGGGATCCTCTGTCGGAAACGATGTCAGTGGGGATGCCATGCAGACGAAACACATGGGATACTAACAGGTCCACAGTCTCCCTGGAGGACGGGAGCTTGGAGAGGGGAATAAAGTGAGCCATTTTGGAAAACCTGTCAATAATGAATGACAGAGTTACCGTTAGATGGGGGAAGGCCAGTGACAAAGTCCAAAGCTATGTGTGACCAGGGGTAACTGGGTATGAGAAGAAGGCGGAGCAGACCGGAAGTGGGTTTAGTGGAGGTTTTGTTCCGTGCACAAACCGAACATGCTGAGACAAACTCCCGGACATCCCTCTCCATGGTGGGCCACCAAAAGCGCTGACGCAGGAGGTGACGGTCCGGTTCATACCAGGATGACAGGTGAGGTGGGTAGAATGGCCCCACTGAAGAACAGAGCGAACACAATCTGGGACAAACAGAGCATTACTAGGACCGTTACCCGGATCAGGCTGGTTCTGCTGAGCCTGGCTGATACGGGACTCGATCTCCCAGGTGACGGCGGCAACGATGCAGGTGGATGGCACAAGGGCTTCTGGCTCGGTACCCGTGTTGTCGGTGGTGAACTGACGAGAGAGGGCATCAGGCTTGGTATTCTTTAAACCGGGCGATAAGTGAGTGTGAAATTGAATCTACCGAAGAACAAGGCCAACCTGGCTTGCTGGAAGTTCAGACGTTTGGCGGTCTGGATGTAGGACAGGTTTTTATGGTCAGTCCACACGATGAAGGGGGTTACAGAGCCCTCCAGCCAGTGACGCCATTCCTCCAGAGCCAGCTTAACTGCCAGGAGTTCCCGGTTTCCGATGTCCAAATTCCTCTCTGCAGGTGAGAGCTTACAGGAAAAAAGTGCACATGGGTGGACCTTCTGATCAGAGGGGGAACGTTGAGACAGAACAGCACCTACCCCTGTATCAGAGGCGTCCACCTCAACGATGAACTGGAGTTCTGGGTCGGGCTGAGTAAGGACTGGAGTGGAGGTGAAGCGACGCTTGAGTTCCAGGAATGCTGCCTCTGCCTCAGGAGTCCAGTGGAATGGAGTGGAGGTGGAGGTGAGAGTAGTGAGAGGTGCTGCCGGACGGCTGTAGCTCCGGATGAAACATCTGTAAAAATTTGCAAACCCCAGGAAACACTGTAGCTGCTTCAGGTTGGAGGGCGCAGGCCACTCTGTGACTGCCATGACCTTGGCGGGGTCCATACGTAACTGTCCCTGTGCAATAATATAACCCAGGACAGACACTGTGGCAGCATGGAACTCACATTTTTCAGCTTGAACAAAAAGCTTATTCTCCAACAGCCGTTGAAGAATTTGGCGAACGTGTTGCTGATGAGCCTCAGGGTCCTTGGAGAAAAATCTGGATGTCTTCTAAATAGACAAAAACGAAGCGTCCAATCTGGAACACAGACAAGGCAGGGGGAGGGGCAGAATGTAAACAATTAGAGTGACAAAATGAACTCCAAGTGGTTACCTTTCCGGCAGTCCAGTCAATCTGTGGGTTGTGTAGCTTTAACCATGGATGGCCAAGAACCAGGGGAGAGTAAGGACAGTCGATTATGTGGAAACTGATATTTTCCTGGTGATTTCCAGAGAGACGCAGGATGACAGGGATGGTTCTCTCACAGACACGGGCGAGAAGCTGTACATTGAGAGCATTGGCATCGAGGGGTGAATCGAGTGGGACAGTGTCCAGGCCCAACTGGGTTATGACACCTCTGTCCAGGAAGCTCTCGTCGGCGCCCAAATCGATGAGAGCAGACAGAGGAAAAGCCTGGCTCTACCACACAAGGTTGCATTCAAGCAGGGGTCTGGGGGAAGATGGGCAGGCGATTTGGCTCAACAGTATATCCCTCACTACTAACGAGCCCCCTCTTTTGCTGGACGCAGGGAACAAGTGGAGACAAAGTGACCAACCTGGCCACAGTATAGGCAGCTCCTAGTGCCGATTCGTCGTTGCCTCTCCTCTGGAGAGAGACGGGCCTGGCCGAGCTGCATGGGTTCAGGATCTGGACGAGCCTGGGGATGTAATGCAGTCGAAGAAGGAGGACAAGGCACTGAAGCAGATGTTATGGGACATGCAACCCTACCTACCCTCTCCCACCGACGCTCACGTAGAAGACTGTCGATGCGGATAGCGGGAGAGATGAGTTCATCAAGTCCATCAGGCTCATCCCTGGACACCAACTCGTCCTTGAGGGTCTCAGTGAGCACGTTCCGGAATGCTCCCTGAAGGGCCTCCTCATTCCAGCCGCTCTCAGCGGCGAGGGTGCGGAACTCACATACCATCTCAGCAACACTATGGGGGCCTTGACGGAGGGACAGGAGTCGTTTAGCGGCATCCTTACCTCAGACCGGGTGGTCGAAGACTTTCTTTATCTCCTCCGTGAATCTGGAGTAAGAGAAGCAGATGGGGGACTGTCTCTCCCACACCGCCGTGGCCCAGGAAAGCGCTGCTCCATGGAAGCAGCCAATCAGAAAGGAAATCTTGGCCCGTTCGCTAGCATAAGAGTAGGGCTGTTGATCAAATATTAGTGAACATTGTACCAAAAATGCTCTGCAAGCTACGAGGTTGCCATCGTAACGCTCGGGAGTCGGAACAAACGGCTTCCGGAGCGGGGGAGAAGGACTTGGAACTGGTTGTGAGCTCTGGGCGATGGGTCGGCCGTGTAGGTCAGACAGGCTCTGTGAAAATTCCTTGATGTGCTCCAGAAGGGTCTTCAGGGCTTGGTGATGTTGCTCGAGCAGGGCGCCTTGGCCGATGAGGGTTTGGTGGAGAGTAGCAGAGTCTGCTGGGTTCATCTCTTTGGCCAGATCGTACTGTTACGCGGAGTGGAACAGGGGAACCCAAGAGCAGACTCAGACGAGGAGACTGGGATGAAGTAACCAAGGTATTTATTGAAACACAGGGGGACGATGGAGTGCAGGTCAGGGGAAATTGCTGGAAACCAGGTGCGGAGGCTGAGGCTGGAGCGAGTGGGGTTGAGACAGGGTGAGCAGGTCCGGAGGGGAATCCAAGGGAGTAGTAGAGTGGGTAATCAAGGACAGAGTAGCAGGATGACGAGATGTGGAACTGGAGACAGGGACCAGAGTCGGAGCGGGCAGAACTGTAACGGAGAGGAAAACAGCGTCAGGCAAGGAAAACAGGCACAACAGGATCTGAATAGTAACAAATGGCTAGAACCGTAGACTGACTGAGCAGAGATTACGATCTGGCAGTATGGAAGTGGCAGGACTTGATTATGGAACAAGTTGCAGCTGGTGGGGATCTGCTCTGACCCCAGCACACCTGTCTCTGCCCACACAATCACACACACACACACACACAGAGAGGGAAAATGGAGAGAGTACTGGGGGAGTGGCGGCAGGTCAAGGAGACACAGGATGAGCAGTAGAGGGGGTTGCAGGAGCAGATGTAACAGAATGCTGTGGTAGCCATGCTAGTTAATTGTGCCTTGAATTCTAAATAAATCACAGACAGTGGTCCATCAAAGCACCCCCACACCATCACATCTCCTCCTCCATGCTTCATGGTGGGAACTACACATGCGGGAGATCATCCGTTCACCTACTCTGCGTCTCACATAGACACGGCGGTTGGAACCAAAAATTTCACATTTGGACTCATCAGACCAAAGGACAGATTTCCACCGGTCTGTTGTCCATTGCTTGTGTTTCTTGGCCAAAGCAAGTCTCTTCTTCTTATTGGTGTACTTTAGTAGTGTTTTTTTTTGCAGCAATTCGACCATGAAGGCCTGATTCACGCAGTCTCCTCTGAACAGTTGATGTTGAAATGTGTCTGTGACTTGAACTCTGTGAAGCATTTATTTGGGCTGCAATCAGGTTCAGTTAACTCTAATGAATTTCTCCTCTGCAGCAGAGGGAACTCTGGGTCTTCCTGTCCTGTGGCGGTCCTCATGAGAGCCAGTTTCATTACAGCGCTTGATGGTTTTTGTGACTGCACTTTTCCGGATTGACTGACCTTTACGTCTTAAAGTAATGATGGACTGTCGTTTCTCTTTGCTTATTTGAGCTGTTCTTGCCATAATATGAACTTGGTCTTTTACCAAATAGGGCTATCTTCTGTATACCACCCCTATCTTGTCACAACACAACTGATTGGCTCAAACGCATTAAGATGGAAAGAAATTCCACAAATTGACTTTTAACAAGGCACACCTGTTAATTTAAATGCATTGCAGGTGACTACTTCATGAAGCTGTTTGAGAGAATGCCAAGAGTGTGCAAAGCTGTCATCAAGGCAAAGGGTGGCTACTTTGAAGAATCTCAAATATAAAATATATTATGAATTGGTTTTTTTTGGTTACTACATGATTCCATATGTGTTACTTCATAGATTTGATGTCTTCACTATTATTCTACAATGTAGAAAATAGTAAAAATAAAGAAAACCCTTGAATGAGCGGGTGTGTCCAAACTTTTGACTGGTACTGTACATACAGTGGGGAGAACAAGTATTTGATACACTGCCGATTTTGCAGGTTTTCCTACTTACAAAGCATGTAGAGGTCTGTCATTTTTATCATAGGTACACTTCAACTGTGAGAGACAGAATCTAAAACAAAAATCCTAAAAATCACATTGGATGGTTTTTAAGTAATTAATTTGCATTTTATTGCATGACATAAGAATTTGATACATCACAAAAGCAGAACTTAATATTTGGTACAGAAACCTTTGTTTGCAATTACAGAGATCATACGTTTCCTGTAGGTCTTGACCAGGTTTGCACACACTGCAGCAGGGATTTTGGCCCACTCCTCCATACAGACCTTCTCCAGATCCTTCAGGTTTCGGGGCTGTCGCTGGGCAATACGGACTTTCAGCTCCCTCCAAAGATTTTCTATTGGGTTCAGGTCTGGAGACTGGCTAGGCCACTCCAGGACCTTGAGATGCTTCTTACGGAGCCACTCCTTAGTTGCCCTGGCTGTGTGTTTCGGGTCATTGTCATGCTGGAAGACCCAGCCACAACCCATCTTCAATGCTCTTACTGAGGGAAGGAGGTTGTTGGCCAAGATCTCGCGATACATGGCCCCATCCATCCTCCCCTCAATACGGTGCAGTCGTCCTGTCCTCTTTGCAGAAAAGCATCCCCAAAGAATGTTGTTTCCATCTCCATGCTTCACGGTTGGGATGGTGTTCTTGGGGTTGTACTCATCCTTCTTCTTCCTCCAAACACGGCGAGTGGAGTTTAGACCAAAAAGCTCTATTTTTGTCTCATCAGACCACATGACCTTCTCCCATTCCTCCTCTGGATCATCCAGATGGTCATTGGCAAACTACAGATGGGCCTGGACATGAGCTGGCTTGAGATGGGGGACCTTGCGTGCGCTGCAGGATTTTAATCCATGATGGCGTAGTGTGTTACTAATGGTTTTCTTTGAGACTGTGGTCCCAGCTCTCTTCAGGTCATTGACCAGGTCCTGCCGTGTAGTTCTGGGCTGATCCCTTACCTTCCTCATGATCATTGATGCCCCACGAGGTGAGATCTTGCATGGAGCCCCAGACCGAGGGTGATTGACCGTCATCTTGAACTTCTTCAATTTTCTAATAATTGCACCAACAGTTGTTGCCTTCTCACCAAGCTGCTTGCCTATTGTCCTGTAGCCCATCCCAGCCTTGTGCAGGTCTACAATTTTATCCCTGATGTCCTTACACAGCTCTCTGGTCTTGGCCATTGTGGAGAGGTTGGAGTCTGTTTGATTGAATGTGTGGACAGGTGTCTTTTATACAGGTAACGAGTTCAAACAGGTGCAGTTAATACAGGTAATGAGTGGAGAACAGGAGGGCTTCTTAAAGAAAAACGAACAGGTCTGTGAGAGCCGGAATTCTTACTGGTTGGTAGGTGATCAAATACTTATGTCATGCAATAAAATGCAAATGAATTACTTAAAAATCATACAATGTCATTTTCTGGATTTTTGTTTTAGATTCCGTCTCTCACAGTTGAAGTGTACCTATGATAAAAGTTACAGACCTCTACATGCTTTGTAAGTAGGAAAACCTGCAAAATCGGCAGTGTATCAAATACTTGTTCTCCACACTGTAGTATCTCACCAGCGCCAAAACTCGGTTTGGAATGTAATTACATTTAGCAAGGCTAGTAGCTAATGTTAGCCATCTGGAACCTGGTTTTAATGTCTATGTCTGGAACTAGCTAGGTAGCACCGGTTCTCCATATGACGTTGAGAAATAGTGCATTGTGGGTAGTTCCGAAGATATCCGAAAATAAGTTAAGAAATATGTTACTGTCTTTGACCACATTCTGTTGTTTCTTTGGTAAGTAAAAACCTCATGCTTCCTAACCTGTAAACTGTATTTTTGTTTAAAACATTTGCTAAAATAGGTACACGTATAACCCATGGTATACAAGGATGTACCCTTATTCTCTTGGGACATTCATTGGGACCTCTTCATCTGCGTACAGGGTTTCACAGCTCTCTGTATCTGATGACCAGGGCCTAAAATGAACACCTGCCACCTGCCAAACGCGGGTAGATTTTGGCATTGTCGGGTAAGAATGTCTAATTCACCAGCCACTCCGGGCTCTACAGTATGAGCGTTTAATAAAAATAGTCAAGTATTGCGAGCTGTTATTTATAGCAAAATAAATGCTGCAGTAGCTGTTTTCAAAGTATTTTTGCCATTTTGTTTAATATCTGGTAATGCACAAAGAAATCTGAATCGTAATGTTATAGCTATCCCACCTCGCGCAGCAACACTGCCTGTCTGGGGGGCTGTAAGCACTGTGAGTGCTGAAAGATTTGTTTTTAGAAGCAATGGGCACAGGCATAAAAGTTGATTTAATTTACTAGTCTAAAGTGAGACTTTCTCCTCTTCTTTCTTGGCTATTTACATTGTTTTGTTCACAAGCTAGGTGGCTTTTCAATGTTTGAGTTTTCTCCCACTGCTAGCAAAAAGAGACAGCATTGGCCTCTACTAGTAACATCCTCACAGGCACATGTGAAAACTAAAGTGGTCCTGTTGCCAAGTAACCTTAAAGGGGCAGCTAAACATTGTTGTCTGATTTTTGTTAAAATACTGAGTCACAGAATATTAAATTACATCGAGCAACATACCACATTACTTCTTACCAGTAATACATTTCTTGTTTTAGAAACATTACTAAACATGCTCATCCGTTTTTTTGTGTTTCTTTGTGTAATTATGACACACAAAAAACATTTGGACTGGTAAAACATATTTTTTTATCTACCTGCCACAGTGGCTGGTATACAAAAAAGTTTGTTTTAGGCCCTGATGAGGACAGAAAACATCACAAAGAAACAGGCTTCATCATTACTCAAACTAGACAGCGCTGAATATTATGTTGCTATATCTCTCTGTCCTCATAGTGTTTCTCACTAGGGACTGGAACTAGAGAATATTTTCATAATGTCCTCCCACAAAGGCACCAGCACTCCTCTCTCCCTTCTCTGACAGCTGGAGTTACTAATCCTTCCACCCTCTTCCATGGCTATTAGCTAGCTAGCTACCTAGTTACACATGCATTTTGAGTTTGTGTTTTTAATTTACAATGATAAATACATCAAGATAGCTAACTAGCTAATATGAAGTTAGCGCTCTGATGATATTTAATTCAATTATCTAGCTATACAGTATGTAAAGTTAGCTAGCTAGCAAGCTAACATTACATTAGCAGCTCATTTGAGTTAGCCTGCACATTAAGTTCCTGTAGCAAACTAGTTAGCTAATAATACATGTTTTTTAAACTCATTTTCAAAATATATTTACTTACTTGAATCGGTTCTCCCACTGCCTCCATTTTCTGGGTCCTTAGAAAAAGAAAATAATAGGCAATCTTCCCAATGTTTCCGGTGGTAGCAAAACGCAGTCAGCCATGTGGACGATTGGAGGACTTCCACCAGACTGACTCTGGTCTTCCAACATGGTGCCTAGTGTGGTTGCTAGGTGATATGTGATGGAACTGTAACACTCTATTGATGGGTTGCACGTTGCATCACAATATTGTTTTGAACGTTCGTTTTAGGACTGATGCCCAACTGAGCATTCTACTCAATGCATCCTCATTGGGCGCTGATGAAGATTTGGTCTAAAGTGCATTACTGTGGTTTGAAAACACGATGACATTTCTAAAGAAGGCAAATAATTAGTAGGAAAACCCATTATGCCATCATTGACTTGAATGGGGATGCCCGTTCTATTCATTATATTTATATCGGCGCCACCTCAGCATCTGAACCTGGACCTTAGAGAGGCCTCGTTTCATCATGCTTAAATTATTCAGGGAAGAACAAATGCTGTATATGGGACTTGTCCCTTGAGCAGTGGACCTTTTCCTATACAGTGGGGGAAAAAAGTATTTAGTCAGCCACCAATTTTGCAAGTTCTCCCACTTAAAAAGATGAGAGAGGCCTGTAATTTTCATCATAGGTACACGTCAACTATGACAGACAAATTGAGAAAAAAAATCCAGAAAATCACATTGTAGGGTTTTAAATGAATTTATTTGCAAATTATGGTGGAAAATAAGTATTTGGTCACCTACAAACAAGCAAGATTTCTGGCTCTCACAGACCTGTAACTTCTTCTTTAAGAGGCTCCTCTGTCCTCCACTCGTTACCTGTATTAATGGCACCTGTTTGAACATGTTATCAGTATAAAAGACACCTGTCCACAACCTCAAACAGTCACACTCCAAACTCCACTATGGCCAAGACCAAAGAGCTGTCAAAGGACACCAGAAACAAAATTGTAGACCTGCACCAGGCTGGGAAGACTGAATCTGCAATAGGTAAGCAGCTTGGTTTGAAGAAATCAACTGTGGGAGCAATTATTAGGAAATGGAAGACATACAAGACCACTGATAATCTCCCTCGATCTGGGGCTCCACGCAAGATCTCACCCCGTGGGGTCAAAATGATCACAAGAACGGTGAGCAAAAATCCCAGAACCACACGGGGGGACCTAGTGAATGACCTGCAGAGAGCTGGGACCAAAGTAACAAAGCCTACCATCAGTAACACACTACGCCGCCAGGGACTCAAATCCTGCAGTGCCAGACGTGTCCCCCTGCTTAAGCCAGTACATGTCCAGGCCCGTCTGAAGTTTGCTAGAGTGCATTTGGATGATCCAGAAGAGGATTGGGAGAATGTCATATGGTCAGATGAAACCAAAATATAACTTTTTGGTAAAAACTCAACTCGTCGTGTTTGGAGGACAAAGAATGCTGAGTTGCATCCAAAGAACACCATACCTACTGTGAAGCATGGGGGTGGAAACATCATGCTTTGGGGCTGTTTTTCTGCAAAAGGACCAGGACGACTGATCCGTGTAAAGGAAAGAATGAATGGGGCCATGTATCGTGAGATTTTGAGTGAAAACCTCCTTCCATCAGCAAGGGCATTGAAGATAAAACGTGGCTGGGTCTTTCAGCATGACAATGATCCCAAACACACCGCCCGGGCAACGAAGGAGTGGCTTCGTAAGAAGCATTTCAAGGTCCTGGAGTGGCCTAGCCAGTCTCCAGATCTCAACCCCATAAAAAATCTTTGGAGGGAGTTGAAAGTCCGTGTTGCCCAGCGACAGCCCCAAAACATCACTGCTCTATAGGAGATCTGCATGGAGGAATGGGCCAAAATACCAGCAACAGTGTGTGAAAACCTTGTGAAGACTTACAGAAAACGTTTGACCTGTGTCATTGCCAACAAAGGGTATATAACAAAGTATTGAGAAACTTTTGTTATTGACCAAATACTTATTTTCCACCATAATGTGCAAATAAATTCATTAAAAATCCTACAATGTGGTTTTCTGGATTTGTTTTTCTCATTTTGTCTGTCATAGTTGACGTGTACCTATGATGAAAATTACAGGCCTCTCTCATCTTTTTAAGTGGGAGAACTTGCACAATTGGTGGATGACTAAATACTTTTTTTCCCCCACTGTACTTCTGCAATAGGGTGTGATATTTCAGCAGACGTCACAATATGGTTTAGGGTGAAGGGGGGTGTTGAGGGCATGAGAGTGAGACTTAATGGCCACTGTATAGGCTAGACCACCACAACTGATTGGTGACACGTTTGTGCGGCTGGCATGTTAAAGGTATGATTACATACAGGAATATAACAACAGTTAATAATGTAGCTCGGTTTCTCGTTAATGATGACTGTACTGTACAATGCTGTACCGCTCAAGGAAACCATAAGCAAATGTGCTTTAACTACACAAGTGTGCTCAGTGAAGACAGCCAGTGAACTTAAACACAACTCTGAGACTGACGCTGTACTGTAATCACATCTGGGTTCTATGGAGTGCACACTTTCTTTATCTTCAGAGATATTTTATGAGGAATAATTGTTTTGGGTTTCAATGTTTTCCTTTCAGATGCCATACATTCAGAACTCATAATGAGACATAATTGTCCGATGCTTAGCCCTCGCTTACAAAAGCAACTGAAACGGATGAAGAGAAAAACATAGTGTTTAATTGTCCCTCACCAGTGAATTCCCCGGACTATTAAGGAACATAGACATGTCTGTCTCCATCCTGACACACGTTGGGAAGCCTGCCAACTCTTATGTACAGGCTACAGACCACCACTTCCTCCTCCCCATACTGGTTCTACCAGAGCCTGACTGGAAATGATGGGGAGGGTATGCCCACTTCAGAGCCTCGCCCTGTGTCCCAATCCAACATGGCTGACCCTATATGGCAACCCTAATTATTCCCCGCTATGCATTCAGACCATTGGTAATTTGTTTTACAACACGTCAGTAGCTAGGTTTCCATCCAATTGGCAACAGATTTACATGCGAATATTCTAGAATCTGCATAATGAAAATATGCGCATTTTCCCACCAATGGTGTGTTTCCACCAAATGGACTAAAGTTGGGGATAAAGTTCAATGCATGATGACATAGTGCACACAAAATGTACTTTTTTGGTTAGGTTTTCATGTACCGAATAAAAATAAAAAGTTCAATATGTTTCCATTGCATTTTTAACTCTACCGATAGTTTTGTCGCAAAAACGGTTACATTAAATAGCAAATGTGCCTACTCTGGTCTTGGCACTTGCGCTTTAGCCAACAGCTCCCAGATACAGTGAGGGTAGGCTGTGTGGGTAGGCTATTCTACATGACGAGATTATTATGGATAAGAGCGAGAATATTTTTATTTGTCAAATGGCAGTCAAGCATCAATCATCATGTCCCCGGAATAAGACCCGCCATATTTATTGGAAAGGAGCATTAAGATCACAGTGCACTCTCACCACCCTGTGAAGTTCATCGTAACTTATTTCATCTGTAGCCTAATATACTGAATGGTTTCCCACCCTGTCGAACAAACAAATTATTTGTCTGCAATTATTAAATTGTACCGAAACTTCCTGTTTCCATCACAGTTGCACTCTCAATGTCTCTATTCTACACCAGCTGTGGGGTTACAGCCAGCAAGTAGCTGGCATGAAAGAAAGTTCACTGCACCCTTGACTGGCAGTTTAGGCACCACCACAAATAACCAAGTCTTTGCAACAAATAACATCTCAATAATATGTGAAGGCCGATCTCTTCCATTGCAACCCCCACATATTTAGCCAATATTTGTTTAATCAAATAGAATAACAAAAGAAAGAGCCACAGACAGAGTGAACCTTGTCAATAGCTGATCACCCAGTGTTGAGTCTCCATCCAATGATGACCTGATTTACTGTTATATGTAGTAGTCTTAAGCAGTGTAATCATTTTAAGTTTGGCTCTTTAAACAATCAAAGGGTTACAAGAAAATGTAAAGATCAGATTTTGATCAGATTTTTCCCATTATGTTTATCCAACGCCGTTAAGATCAACTCTGGCAACAACAAAACACCACAGACTGTAAATGGCTCTTGCCAATAGCTCCCTGCAGTGAACATCATGATTTACTATCCTAATCAGTCATACGAGGTGTAATAACTCATGTTGGGCTCTTATCAATTATGGTGACACTCCCACGGTCCTTGGCCAGAATGGTCGACATCTGTGGCCAAAGTGGAGCCATATATTTCCATGCCCACCAAAGAGAACTCACAGTGGCCAAGGGAAAGAGACAGGATTTCAGACAGAGAGAAAGAGAGAGAGCAAGAGAGAGCGAAGGGGTTGGGAAAGGCAGGGAAAAAGAAAGGGACTTTACACTGGGATCTTATAGGTGTGTTTTATGCCTTGTGTGTGATGTGTACTGTATATTATAAACTGGGTGGTTCAAGCGCTGAATGCTGATTGGCCTACAGCCATGGTATATCAGACCGTATACCGCTGGTATGACAAAACCTTTATTTTTACTGCTCTAATTACGTTGGTAACCAGTTTATAATAAGGCACCTCTGCGTTGCGTTGTGCATAAGAACAGCCCTTAGCCATGGTATAATGGCCATATACCACACCCCTCAGGCCTTATTGCTTAATTACAAGCTGTGTAGACTGATCCGTGCTGTTCTTGGAGGGGGTTCTGGGTACTTGCGCTCCATCCATTTGCCTTTGTTCCTCACATGATGGTTGCTTCACGGTGGCAACTTCTTTGTTCATGGAGTGGTGCTTTTATGACTCTAATGTAACATTGCACGTCTTTGTTTCCATCTGAAATCAAACAGATGAGCCAAACGAATCTTTAGCATTTGTTGCGTTTTTATATGATGTGCAGTGACAAGGAGCTGGCATGGGCAAAGGACACTCCTGCTATTTCCACCCTGGACGCCAGGCATTGCGCACAGATGGCACATGAATGGGGACGCAGTGCCAAGGCAACTCTACCGTGAGTCGAGCCATCATTAATACGGATCAGATGACAAAGTACGTCCATAATAACATGGCGTAACAAAACACAGTGTTTTTTTTGTTGGTCCCTGACCTGAAGCGAGGCTGAAACCATGATACACCATCTGTGTGGAGTCCAGCCCTCTCCGAACCCACCAAGCTCATCCTCCCCTCTTTGCCCCCGTCACGTCCTCATGTTGCCAAAAACAGCACGTTGTCTGAGCGTCATTAACCAGCAATATTCCTGTCCCCAATCACATGTTGTGTCTTTGAAGATTATTAGAAACACATGTTTGGCGGTGGCTAATGTGGCTAACATGGACACCCTCTCCTAGTGCAGCCTTGACCTGCTCTCCTCAGTTCTGTGTGGAGGTTTATATAAAGGGACACCAGGGGTCTGATACGACCATTGTCCCGCGGTCCCAGATGGAAGGAGCCCAGGGAGCTGCTCTATGTTAACGGGAACCATACCACCCTGCCAAGTGCAGGAAGCATAGACCTCAGCAAGCAAGCTGGGAATCCCTGACACTAGGCGAAGGGTCTTTGGCTGGGACATTCCATAATAATCCATACAGCTCAGCCTGTACTCTCCCACACAAACACTCCCACAAGTACACAGATGGACAAGCTCATGGACACACTAAGAAATACTTACGTATGCACGCACACTGAGTTATTGCAGATAGTCATAAACACACACACACGTCGCACACACACATACATACCTACACATTCACATGCACACATACCCAGTACTCAACAACACAAATGACTCTGCCTATGCACTGTATATAGCTACCCCATTTGTCAAAGTGCTGATGACTACTTTCCATTGCAGCCTTTATTGCAACTTGGACTAGGGCTGGTTGAATTGTGTTTCCGTTGGACTCTTTCCCATTGCTAAGCAGTTCTATTAAATCAGGGGCATTCAGCATTATTCATCCAGCCAAATTAATGCGTTATCCCGTTTGTGGTTCTTCACGTATAGTTTTCTCCTCTGCAGTCCCATACATATTCTCTGCTGATTACATCATTTGGGTCATGTCACGTCACATAGACACTGCAGGACATTTACATTACTGGTGCTGTTGTCATGTTGGCCTAGCTGTGAGTTTATCTCTTAAAAGGGCGGCTTTTAAACAGTCTTTCATCAGGTCTGTGTTAGGTCAATTCACCAGGGCTGAACTTCTACACAATAAATTGGTTTTCATTGCACTGTTAGGGAGGGACCTGTTTCATGGTCAGTGATCTTTGGCTTGGACACTCACATGAAGCTCAAAGTTGATGCAAAAAAAAATAATATGTATGGAAAAGATGGAACTTGAGAGGTGATGAGTGTCCAAATCATTACAACAGAAAGCATTGATCTTATTTAAATTCATGAAATGATAAAGTAACCGAGAACGCCAGTGTTTTGGGAACAGAAGTAATCAGTTACAGTACGTCCTTAAACGTTGATTGTATGTCCAAATATAGTTACACAATTTTTCCAATAGAACATTTTTTGCAGCATTAATCTAGTAAATCAATACTGCTGAAATCTGCTCACATCCAAGATAAACTGGTTCAATGGTACGTTTGGCTGCAGAATGGTGGCTGTGTTTCCTGGATCTATGTTTGCCCCTGAGATTTGTCTGTAAGTGTTTCCTTCACTGTGGGTGAAAAGTATCTCAATCATAGCTGTGCTAGCTAGCTAGCTTTTTCATAAGAGGAGAACACTATGTTGTGGTAAAATCCCCCAGTGATTACAGAGTCATATGTTATAGCTACTTTCTAGCCCAGAGCAGGATTGAAGTTCTCATACTGTACAAACTGCCAAACATTCTACCTGTAAATACTTTGGGATTGCTGAAACGTAATCTACCACAGCACCAGAGTCTGTTGAAAGAATAAGCATCAGGCATTAATCTATGCGATATTGCAACTCATGCACCATACATTGAATTCCCTTGCATTTTAGGTAAATCTCAACTGAATCCCACCACTACCACCAATTTAGGTCCCGTGTGGCTCAGGTTGTGGGTTCGACTCCATCACATCGAGGTCCCCACACACCCCACCACACACCCCACCACACACCCCAGGCAGGTGCAGCCTCTATTTAAGATGGTGCGTTCCCCCCTCAACCGGAAAGGTGGTCGGCATTCAGTTGCGGAGGTAAACGTTACAACAGGACTAACAGCCACAGGAAAATTACTCTAATAGCTGAGCTGCTGCTGAACATAGAAACATTACCATTGAGGGCACAGGAACCAAAGTATCACCAAAAAGCAGAAAGTAATAAAAAATTGTGGACGAAGATACAGTATTTTTGTGCTTTGAATCTGAATGGACACTGTATATAATTCTTTGTGAAGGTGTTTCTTTGTTCAGTGGACTTAAGTCATGGAGGTGTTTCTTTGGTCAGTGGACTTAAGTCCTGGAGGTGTTTCTTTGTTCAGTGGACTTAAGTCCTAGAGGTGTTTCTTTGTTCAGTGGACTTAAGTTCTGGAGGTGTTTCTTTGTTCAGTGGACTAAGTCCTGGAGGTGTCACATCAACAAAGGGAACACTTTGAGGCCAATACAGTGTACCTTTTCTGCTCCTCTGGGAGGCCTGCGTGGAGGAACATAACGTTGTGGGGAGGTTGAGGAGAGCTGTTCATAAATGACGTGGCTGAGGGAAGCCTATACAGAGCTGTGTAGAGCGGGAGGGGAGGGGGAGTGGTCTCAGCCATGCTGGGATGCAATAAAAGGGACCTCATATCTGAGGAACCCAAACTCTCCAGTAGCACTACCGGTGGCTGCTGCTCCAGGGTGACTGGCACACCTCATAAAAGAAAGAAAGAAAGAAAGAAAATAAGAAAGAAAGACAGAAAACAAACCAAGAACTCTTGATTCTGATTCCTTCGTTACCTTGCTAATTAGTGTGCCTTTTCTTTTTGCCTTTTTTTTTTGCATTTCCAGTGAAGAGGCCCCTTGGTGTGAAAAAAAAAGAACGAGAAAATGATCATCCAGCTTTGCAGCGTTTTTCTTTCCCTGACCCTGGCCAGCAGTGTGTACAGTGAGACCAACAGCCCTGCTTCTCCACCAGCCTACACAGCAGGTAAGATGGAAATGTGTGTGTGTGTGTGTGTGTGTGTGTGTGTGTGTGTGTGTGTGTGTGTGTGTGTGTGTGTGTGTGTGTGTGTGTGTGTGTGCGCGTATAGGGGTGTGTCTGTAATGTCTGTGTACGTGTGCTTTGAGGCCACAGTAAAGTGGTACCATAGACTTATAACAGCAGGGTAATTGTAGTGGTTGGTAATGGAACCCTCTCTGGGGTGCCATACACAGTCTAACTCACCACTGACTTATTAACTGCTTACTGCTGGCCACCGCCTGAGAATTAATCAGCCTGTCACCCACAAGGGCTCGCTGTCCACACATCACAATCTACTGGTTTTACTCTATATATTTGGACCAAACTATTATTTTTAGAATTAAAATATAGACCAAACCCTTCTTTTTTATTTTTCTTTTCTTGAAGCTCAAATTGAGTTATAGGTCAGAATTGGTCAAAATTGTGTACAGATAAACTGTAGCTAATTGCTTATTATGTCTAATAAGGTTCAATCAGACCACTTGTTTGTTTGTTTTCCTTCTATTAGGAGGGAGTGAGAAGAACACTTTTCAGACTGCACCTGCTCAAGCTACATCCTTTAGTATTATTTAAAATAGCACCTGTATCCTAAATGAAATACTGTGGGATATCTTACTGCAATAGTCAAATACCACTAAGCAGTGGTGGAAAAAGTACCCAACTGCTTAAGATACCTTAATAGAAAATTACTCAAGTAAAAGTGAAAGTTGCCCAGTACAATCCTACCTGAGTAAAATTCTAAAAGTATTTGGTTTTAAATATACTTAAGTATCAAAAGTAAATGTAATTGCTAAAATATACTTAAATATCAAAAGTAGAAGTAAAAGTATAAATAATTTCAAATTCCCTATCTTAAGCAAACCATACTGTACCATTTTCTAGTTTTTTTTAAATTACGGATAGCCAGGGGCACGCTCCAACACTCAGACATCATTTACAAATGAATCAAGTGTTTAGTGAGTCCGCCAGATCAGAGACAGTAGGGATGACCAGAGATGTTCTCTTGATAAGTGTGTGAATTAGAACATTTTCCTGTCCTGTTAAGCATTCAAAGTGTACTTTTGTGTGTCAGGGAAAGTTAAAAGTACATACTTTTCTTTAGGAATGTAGTGAAGTCAAAGTAAAAGTTAAAAAGTAAAGTAACGTACAGATACCCCAAAAAACTACTTAAGTAGTACTTTCAAGTATTTTTACCTAAGTACTTTTCACCACTGCCACTAAGAAACACATTGTTCTAGCTCAAACCAGAGTCTCAGTTTACAAAGTGAAGAGTAATATCAAATGTAATTTCTTCAGTCCTTTAGGGGATTTGAGTTCCAGCATGTGCTAGCTCTATCATGGCAGACAGAGAAATCCCGCCAACAGGAAAAATTCACTTTCTCAGAGTCTGTAGATGGCATGCTGTCCTGTCTGTGCAAAAGTTTGTTAGACTCCTGTGGCCTAATGATGTCAGAAATGTGTGTGTGTGTGTATGTGTATGTGTGTGTAGCCCCATGATGTCAGAACCTTGGCTCTGGAGGCACCCAGCCCAACTCTATACAGTAGATCTTTATTCTAACCCTATGGAAAATAAGCTTTAATGTACACTTATGCCAGGGGCGTTGCCTGCTCAACTGACTCACCCAGGCCTCTGAGCCTGTGGAAATCCTAAGCGGTACAGTACATGCATTTTGACAGGAACAGAGTTAAGATTAACAGCCACAGCAAAACGTATAGAGCTGAACTCTGGCCAAATGACTCTCCTTTTCCCACTGAGGTAATGGTCTGTTAACTCTGGGGATTTCTGGGGCTAGTGCTTGGACAGGGCTGGGGATTGGACAGGGCTGGGGCTGGGACAGGGCTTGGGATTGGGCTGGGGCTTTCTGGGGCTGGGGTTTGGATAGGGCTGGGGCTTGGACAGGGCTGGGGCTTGGACTTAGGTAGGGTTTGGCTGGAACTGGGGCTTGGCCTTGGACTCAGGCAGGGTTGGGCTGGGGGTGAGGCTGTGGCTTTGACATAGTTGGTGCCTGGGAGGGGGATTGGGCTAGTTTGGGAGGGGGTTGGGGCTGTGTCAGGAGGGGGCTGTGATGTTGGTACAGCAAGTGAAGTTTGAAGTGAAAGTTTAAAGTAACTGTCCAGTTTTTCCACATTTTTAAATTATATGAGTGAAAATATTTCCTTCCCCAAAATTGTAATTAAGTATGTTAAAAAGCAGATTTTCTGTGTTGTAATGGTGTGGGCGTACCCCAACAACAGAATGGTGTGGACGTACACCGGTCATATATTATTGGGAGTAGACCGCTGATTGTCCAGCTCAGCCAATGAGGCAGGAAGACATCATTCTCTATGAGGAAATAGCAAGCATTTTTGAAACGGTCTGTTTGAGATACAAGTTTGAGGTGTTTTTTAATAAATGTTTTATTTATGCTTTGGCCACAAATACCAGTATAGGATGAGTCAACAACATTATTTGGGTATGAGTTAAGAGAATATTTAAAAGTGAGATTTTCACTGAACTGTTACTTTAAGAGAGTTCTGATTTAGAAGATGATGGCAACAGCCAAGAAGTCATGCTGACATCATAGTATCATTCCCAGAGTATGTGTGTGTTTAAGAGAGTTGACATGTGTGTATGTGTGTGCATGTGTGCGTACGCGCCTGTGTCCGTGTATGAGAGTGAGTGCACGTTTTTTGGGCACGTGTGTGTGTAGGCGTGTACCTTGGTCACAGCTCCCTGTTGCTGCAGGATGTTGTAAAGGATGTCTAGCTGGTCGGGGTGGGTGTGGTTTTACACTGGATGACACACATGTAGTTACAGCTGTGTAACATACTCTCTGTATACATACTGATTCAAGCTTATAGGCTAATTTGTGACTAATCAACTTGCTCAGTTGCTCCTTCAACGTCTCAAAGACCACAATAAGACAAAGTTAATGACACAAGGTTAGGATAACATTATGAAGTGCCTGTCGACTCTGAACATATATGTCACATGGCAACGTTGGACCATTATGATGTTACTGTCAATTTATTACCCTAAATTGCTGCTTTCTCAAAGACACAGCAGTTTTAAATCACTCAGTACTATAACCTTTTATGGAGTGAGAGAGAATTGTATATGATGGTAAAATGGCAGTAGGTCTTGGCTACTACGATGCTTTTTATTGCCATGTGGTAATTGACTTATTCTCTCCTCTTTTTCATTTAACCCCCAACCTTAAGAAAACACTTAGGTCTAAGGGCCCAGGGCTGTGTTTCTACTAAGCTAACATATGGATGGTCATACCAAGGATAATTTAGCTATTTTATTTTTTTAAATGTTGGACCCCTATAGGTACGGTCTGTAATTTTTATCATAGGTACACTTCAACTGTGAGAGACGGAATCTAAAACAAAAATCCAGAAAATCACATTGTATGATTTTTAAGTAATTAATTTGCATTTTTTTGCATGACGTAAGTATTTGATCACTTACCAACCAGTAAGAATTCCGGCTCTCACAGACCTGTTAGTTTTTCTTTAAGAAGCCCTCCTGTTCTCCACTCATTACCTGTATTAACTGCACATGTTTGAACTCGTTACCTGTATAAAAGACACCTGTCCACACACTCAATCAAACAGACTCCAACCGCTCCACAATGGCCAAGACCAGAGAGCTGTGTAAGGACATCAGGGATAAGATTGTAGACCTGCACAAGGCTGGGATGGGCTACAGGACAATAGGCAAGCAGCTTGGTGAGAAGGCAACAACTGTTGGCGCAATTATTAGAAAATGGAAGAAGTTCAAGATGACGGTCAATCACCCTCGGTCTGGGGCTCCATGGAAGATCTCACCTCGTGGGGCATCAATGATCATGAGGAAGGTGAGGGATCAGCCCAGAACTACACAGCAGGACCTGGTCAATGACCTGAAGAGAACTGGGACCACAGTCTCAAAGAAAACCATTAGTAACACACTACGCCGTCATGGATTAAAATCCTGCAGCGCACGCAAGGTCCCCTTGCTCAAGCTAGCGCATGTCCAGGCCCGTCTGAAGTTTGCCAATGACCATCTGGATGATCCAGAGGAGGAATGGGAGAAGGTCATGTGGTCTGATGAGACAGAAATATAGCTTTTTGGTCTAAACTCCACTCGCCGTGTTTGGAGGAAGAAGAAGGATGAGTACAACCCCAAGTACACCATCCCAACCATGAAGCATGGAGGTGGAGACATCATTCTTTGGGGATGCTTTTCTGCAAAGGGGACAGGACAACTGCACCGTATTGAGGGAAAGATGGATGGGGCCATGTGTCGCGAGATCTTGGCGAACAACCTCCTTCCCTCATTAAGAGCATTGAAGATGGGTCGTGGCTGGGTCTTCCAGCATGACAACGACCCGAAACACACAGCCAGGGCAACTAAGGAGTGGCTCCGTAAGAAGCATCTCAAGGTCCTGGAGTGGCCTAGCCAGTCTCCAGACCTGAACCCAATAGAACATCTTTGGAGGGAGCTGAAAGTCCGTATTGCCCAGCGACAGCCCCGCAACCTGAAGGATCTGGAGAAGGTCTGTATGGAGGAGTGGGCCAAAATCCCTGCTGCAGTGTGTGCAAACCTGGTCAAGACCTACAGGAAACGTATGATCTCTGTAATTACAAACAAAGGTTTCTGTACCAAATATTAAGTTCTGCTTTTCTGATGTATCAAATATTTATGTCATGCAATAAAATGCAAATGAATTACTTAAAAATCATACAATGTGATTTTATGGATTTTTGTTTTAGATTCCGTCTCTCACAGTTGAAGTGTACCTATGATACAAATTACAGACCTCTACATGCTTTGTAAGTAGGAAAACCTGCAAAATCGGAATAAATTCATTTAAAAATATATTTGATGAAGCACTGAATTTGGCCTTATTGCTATTAGCCCATAGAAACACATTGAAGATGGCACTGACGGAGAAGGGCGACATCTTACGAGTTCCAATATAGTGAATTCTATTGTGTTTTTTGTACGGTAAGTTCATGCTGTTATCATATATGACCGCAAAGCACTTCTGGACATCAGATCGACAGTTACTAACCTTGATTTCAACTTCAAATACGACTTCAACTCCAACTCAGCTGTTCCACTGTTCATACCAGACCCTATTCCTTTGATCCATGGGCTACCAAAATGCTGCAGGTGTAGACGCGGGAGACGAGGTGGTCCTGGTGAAATTGAGGCGAAGAGAAAACCGAACGGCGATCCCCTCCGTTCTATGGCAAATGTCCAGTCACTCCAGAATAAGATGGATGAGCTGCAATATTATATGTCTTATTGAAACGTGGCTGGATGATGACGCTATGTGCATAGTACTCTGTGGATTATCCATCCAGCAGCAGGATCGGTCGGTGGCTTCGGGGAAATGAAAGGCGGCGGAGTGTGTTTTTTAAAATAAATAACAACTGGTGTGCTACTTCAAGTGTGAAGGAAATCTCAAGCTTTTGCTCATTCTACCTCACTTCTATACCATTCTACCTCACTTCTAACAACACGTGTCCTGCGCCACTAGGGGCGCTAGAACTCTAGACCACTTTTATTCTACCAACAGAATCGCATACAGGGCCCTCTCTCGTCCTCCCTTTGGCAAATCTGACCATGACTCCATTCTCCTGCTTCCTGTTTACAAACAAAAGCTCAGACAGAATGCGTTCAAGTGATGCGTTCAATACGGAAGTGGTAAGACGAAGCAGATGCGAGGCTACAAGACTGTTTCGCTAGTACAGACTGGGATATGTTCCGGGATTCCACAACAGTCATGGGCTTCATCAATAAGTGCATAGATGATGTCGTCCCCACAGTGACTATAAGAACGTATCCCAACCAAAAACCATGGATTAAAGGCAACAGATGCACTGGGCTAAAGGTTAGAGCTACCGCTTACAATGAATGGGAAACGGACATGGACACATACAAGAAATCACACTACGACCTCCGATGAGACATCAAACATTCAAAAGGACAATATAGGAGGAAGGTGGAATCCTATTACAACGGCTACGATGCTCGTCTTGCAGACGATAACGGATTACAAAGGGAAGCCCAGACATGAGCTGTCCAGCGATGCAGAACTCCCAAATGAGCTAAATGCCTTTCATGCTCGCTTCGAGTAATATAACATTGTGCCTTGCTTGAAAAACCCTGTTTTTCCGGATGACTGTGTGATCTCGCTTTCCGTGGCCGATGTGAGCCAAACGTTTAAACAGGTTAACAGTCACAAGGCTGCCGGGACAGACGGAATACCAGGGTGCGTTCTCAAAACATGCGCAGACCAGCTGGCAGGGGTCTTCACAGACATTTTTTATCTGTCCTTGTCTGTAATCCCAACATGTTTCAAGCTGACCACCATTGTCCCTGTTCCCAGGAGCTCGAAGGTAACCTGCCTAAATGACTATCACCCTGTAGCAGTCACATCTGTAATTATGAAGTGCTTTGATAGGCTGGTCATGACATCAACATAAACACCATCATCCCAGACACCCTAGACCCACTCCAATTTGCATACCGCCCCAACAGATCCACAGATGACACAATATCTATTGCACTTCACACTACCCTCTCCCATCTGGACAAGAGGGGAAATAACTATGTGAGAATACTGTTCATAGACTACAGCTCAGTGTTCAACACCATAGTCCCCTCCAAGCTCATCACCAAGCTATGGACCCTGGGACTGAACCCTTCCCTCTGCAACTGGATCCTGGACTTCCTGACAGGCCGGCCCCAGGTGGTGAGGTTAGGCAACAACACCTTTGCTACGCTGACCCTCACACGGAGCCCCTCAGAGGTGTGTGCTTAGTCCCCTCCTGTACTCCCTGTTCACCCACAACAGTGTGGCACAACTCCAACACCAACATCAAGTTTGCTGATAACACAACGTTGATAGGCCTGATCACTGACGGCGATGAGTCAGCCTACAGGGAGGAGGTCAGAGACTTAGCAGTGTGGTGCCAGGACAACAACCTCTCCCTCAATGTCAGTAAGACCAAGGAGCTGATCGTGGACTATATGAAAAAGAAGCCTCCCGAGTGGCGCAGCGGTCTAAGGAACTGCAGTGCTTGAGGCGTCACCATAGATCCGGATTCGATCCCGGGCTGTGTCGCGACCGGGAGACCCATGTGGCTACGCACAATTTGCCCAGCGTCGTCTGGGTCAGGGGAGGGTTTGGCCAGCCTTGTCCCATCGCGCTCTAACGACTCCTTTGGCGGGCCGGGCGCATGCACGCTGACACGGTTGCCAGTTGTACGGTGTTTCCTCCTACACATTGGTGCGGCTGGCTTCCGGGTTAAGCGAGCAGTGTGTCAAGAAGTAGTGCGTCTTGGCAGGTTTGTGTTTTGTAGGACGCATGGCTCTCGACCTTCGCCTCTCCCGTGTCCGTACGGGAGTTGCAGCGATGGGACAAGACTGAAACTACCAACTGGATATCACGAAATTGGGGGGGGGGGGGGGGGGAATGAAAAAAGAGAGCACCTCGTACCTCTTCACATTGATCTGGTATTGGTACTCCCTGTATATACAGTTGAAGTCAGAAGTTTACATGCACTTAGGTTGGAGTCATTAAAACTATTTGTTCAACCACTCCACAAATTTCTTGTTAACAAACTATAGTTTTGGCAAGTCGGTTAGGACATCTACTTCGTGCATGACACATGTAATTTTTCCAACAATTGTTTACAGACAGATTATTTCACTTATAATTCACTGTATCACAATTCCAGTGGGTCAGAAGTTTACATACACTAAGTTGACTGTGCCTTTAAACAGCTTGGAAAATTCCAGAAAATGATGTCATGGCTTTAGAAGCTTCTGATAGGCTAATTGACATCATTTGAGTCAAGTGGATGTGTACCTGTGGATGTATTTCAAGGCCTACCTTCAAACTCAGTGCCTCTTTGCTTGATATCATGGGAAAATCAAAAGAAATCAGCCAAGACCTCCACAAGTCTGGTTCATCCTTGGGAGCAATTTCCAAACGCCTGAAGGTACCACGTTCATCTGTACAAACAATAGTATGCATGTATAAACACCATGGGACCACGCAGCTGTCATACCGCTCAGGAAGGAGATGCGTTCTGTCTCCTAGACATGAACGTACTTTGGTGCGAAAAGTGCAAATCAATCCCAGAACAACAGCAAAGGACCATGTGAAGATGCTGGAGGAAACAGGTACAAATGTATCTATATCCACAGTAAAACGAGTCCTATATCGACATAACCTGAAAGGCTGCTCAGCAAGGAAGAAGCCACTGCTCCAAAACCGCCATAACGGCACATGGGGACAAAGATCGTACTTTTTGGAGAAATGTCCTCTGGTCTGATGAAACAAAAATAGAAATGTTTGGCCATAATGACCATCGTTATGTTTGGAGGAAAAAGGGGGAAACTTGCAAGCCGAAGAACACCATCCCAACCGTGAAGCACGGGGGTGGCAGCATCATGCTGTTGGGGTGCTTTGCTGTAGGAGGGACTGGTGCACTTCACAAAATAGATGGCATCATAAGGAAGGAAAATTATGTGGATATATTGAAGCAACATCTCAAGACATTAGTCATGAAGGTAAAGCTTGGTCGCAAATGGGTCTTCCAAATGGACAAGCATACTTCCAAAGTTGTGGCAAAATGGCTTAAGGACAACAAAGTCAACGTATTGGAGTGACCATCTCAAAGCCCTGACCTCAATCCTATAGAACATTTGTGGGCAGAACTGAAAAAGCCTGACTCAGTTACACCAGCTCTGTCAGGAGGAATGGGCCAAAATTCACCCAACTTATTGTGGGAAGCTTGTGGAAGGCTACCCGAAACATTTGACCCAAGTTAAACAATTTAAAGGCAATGCTATCAAATTCTAATTGAGTGTATGTACACTTCTGACCCACTGGGAATGTGATGAAAGAAATAAAAGCTGAAAGAAATAATTATCTCTACTATTATTATGACATTTCACATTCTTAAAATAAAGTGGTGATCCTAACTTACCTAAGACAGGGATTTTTTACTAGGATTAAATGTCAGGAATTGTGAAAAACTGAGTTTAAATGTATTTGGCTAAGGTGTATGTAAACTTCCGACTTCAACTGTAGCTCCATTCTTGTGTATTTTATTTTATTCCTCTTGTGTTGGTTACAATTATTATTTATTTATTTTTACTCAACATGGAAAAGTTTGTAAGCAAGCATTTCACTGTAAAGTCTACACCAGTTGTATTCGGCGCATGTGATAAATACAATTTCATTTGATTTGAATAACAGATTCATACATGGAAAAACTGATATTCCAAAAATAAATCAAAGGGAGGTATGTTTTGAAGTGTCTGTCCTATATCTGAGTGATATAAGAAAGATCAGGATAAAAAAAAAGAAAAATGGTGGAATTATCCGTATACCTTTGATGTGGAAATGCCCCATTCACTTCATTAACTTCCCCATCCACTTCAGCCTAACAAAATATGTGGGGGGTAAATGGTTGGTAATGGTTTAATGAACGGTTTGTATACGTTACATTTACATTTTAGTCATTTAGCAGACCAATATCACAAGCGACTTAAAGGAGCAATAAAGGTTAAGTGCCTTGCACAAGTGCATATTGAAAGATTTTCAGCTAGTCGGCTCGAGGATTCGAACAAGCAACGTTTCGGTTACTGGCCCAATGCTCTTAACTGCTAGGCTACCTGCCAACCCCATAGAAATAACCTTGTATAAATAAGCTAAGGTTTGATATACACTGAGTGGACAAAATATTAGGAACATCTTCCTGATATTGAGTTGCGCCCCCTTTTGCCCTCAGAACAGCCTCAATTCGTCGGGCATGGACTCTACAAGGTGTCAAAAGTGTTCCACAGGGATGCTGGCGTCATGCACACCTAGTGATTTTGATGAGGAGCGATTGTGTCATTTGGGCTTTCACTTTCCAATCAAACTTCAGTCAACGGCTTCCCAAGTCCAAAATGTATGAGGCAGAGAGAAGCCGTGAGTCATAACCCAGTGACAGAGGAGGAGCTCATCCAAATATATGTTAAATACTGGGCTTTTAAAAACAAAACACTCCATACCCATTGTTTTCATTAGTTGGTACCCTTTGGCGTGAGTTTAGTGGGTAATGAGGAAAGAGCGAAGGAAAGAGCGGTTGGAGTTAGGGCTATAGGGGAGATCAAATGTGTCAGGCAGCACCACTTCTGTTCATTAAATCTGTCTGCAGGATAGCTTGCGACTGATAATGTATAGGACATGCTAGTCAATCCAGCCACGCGTCGACTATGTGCTCTGTGCGCATGTGAGAATTGGATTCTGGGATTTAGAGAGGTTGGGGTGAGAAACAGGGGTGGGGGGAGAGATGATTGGACCGGGAGGCAGTTAACCTGGAGAGCCTGGTAGTAATTCCTGCATCCATGTAGAGAAGTATTTTTCCCGTTGAAGAGCCAGCGGAACCGTTTTCCAGTCATGGCTTTGGTGTGGCTCAAGGAGCCTGCGGTTATACGACTCTCTGAGTGAGCCTCCGCCAGACAGATGCGGAACAGAACCCGAGAGAGATACAAAGAGGAAGAGAAATAGAGAAAGAGACAGATGTAGAGAGATTTAGAGCAAATTAAAGAGGCACCAGGAGACAGTCAGGCACAGAAGGAGAGGGAGGAAGGGATACTGGCTAGGATGCCACTGGGGACACCAGTTAGTACTGACATCATTTGATCTATGACTCAAAAGGGGACTTGTTTTTTTACCAAATGCTGCTGATTATTTCTCCAGGCATATTTTGCTCTAAGGGATGGGGATGTGAAAAGTCTGCTTTGCATCAAATCAATGTTTTTTGGTCGTGTACACAGTTTTGCAGATGTTATCGCAGGTGCAGTGAAGTGCTTATGTTTCTAGCTCCAACAATGCAGCAATATCTAGCAATACAATAACAATACACACATAATAAGAAAGTTAATCCAAATAGAAGACAAGAAATGAAGACCTATCAGAACGAGCAATACACAGGAGGTTGATGGCACCTTAATTGGGAAGGATGGGCTCGTGGTAATGGCTGGAGCATAATGTGGAATGGTAGCAAATACATCAAACACATTCCATTCGCTCCATTCCAGCCATTATTATGAGCTGTCCTCCCCTCAGCAGCCTCCACTGGAGCAATATCAGAACGAGCAATGTCAGCAGAGGCATGATGCCCATAGATTTGTCCTGTTTAAAAAATATATGCAGTATATACACCGAGTGTACAAAACATTCAGGACACCATAACATAGATTGACCAGGTGAATCCAGGTGAAAGCTATGATCCCTTATTGATGTCACTTGTTAAATCCAATTCAATCAGTGTAGATAAAGGGGAGGAGAAAGGTTAAAGAAGGATTTTTAAGTCTTGAGACAATTGAGACATGGATTTTGTGTGTGCCATTCAGAGGATGAATTGGCAATAGAAAAAAATGGAAGTGCCTTTGAACGAGGTATGGTAGTGGGTGCCAGGCACACGGGTTTGTGTCAAGAACTGCAACTCTGCTCGGTTTTTCACGCTCAACAGTTTTCCGTGTATATCAAAAATGGTCCACCACCCAAAAGACATCCAGCCAACTTGACACAACTGTGGTAAGTATTGGAGTCAACATGGGCCAGCATCCCTGTGGAACGCTTTCAATACCTTGTAGAGTCTATGCCCCGACAAATTGAGGCTGTTCTGAGGGCAAAAGGGGGATGGGGGGGGGGGGGGGGGTGCAACTCAATATTAGGAAGGTGTTCCTAATGTTTGGTGTACTTAGTGTATATCTGGGGAAGGGTATAACACAATTTCTAGAGTGTTGAACGTTTCGAAGAGCACAGTGGTCTCCATCATTGCGAAATTGAAAAAATATGGAACTACCCAGACTCTGCCTAGAGCTGGCCGTCCGACCAAACTGAGCAACCGAGCAAAAAGGAACTTGGTCAGGGACCAAGAACCCAATCACCACTCTGACAAAACTACAGAGTTCCTTGGATGAGATGGGAGAACCTGCCAGAAGAACAACAGTCTCTACAACACTTCACCAATCTGGGCTTTATGGGAGAGAGGCCAGACAGAAGGCACTCCTGAGAAAAATGTAACTCCTTGGCCTGAATGCAAAGCACTATGTCTGGAGAAAACCAGGCACAGCTCATCACCGTCTAACACCATCAGTACCGGTGGTGGCAACATCATGGTGGTGGCAACATCATGCTATGGGATGCTTTTGAGCAGCAGGGACTGGGAGACTGGTAAGGATAGAGGGAACAATTAATGGAGCCAAATACAGGCAAATCACTGATGAGAACCTGATTCAGAGTGCAAATGACCTTAAACTGGGGCAAAGATTTATGTTCCAACAGGACAATGACCCCAAGCGTACAGCCAAAGCAACGCTGGAATGGCTTTAGAACAAGAATGTGAAAGTCCTTGAGTGGCCCAGCTAAAGCCCAGACTTGAATCCCATTGAAAATCTCCCCATCTAATTGAACAAATCTGCAAAGCTTGAGACAATCTGCAAGGAAGAATGGGAGAAAATCCCCAAATCCAGATGTGCAAAGCTGATACAGACATACCCAAGATGATTCAAAGCTGTAATCGCCGCCAAAGGTGCTTCGACAAAATATTGACTCAGGGGCGTGAATACTTATGTAAATTAGATATTTATGTATTTCATTTTCAATACATTTGCAAAAATGTCTAAAAACATGTTTTCACTTTGTCATAATAGGGTATTGTGTTCAGATGTGTAACAACAAATCTATTTAATATATTTTGAATTCAGGCTGTAACACAACAAAATGTGGAATAAGTCAAAAGGTATGCATACTTTCTGAAGGCACTGCAGCTAGGAAACATTTCAGGCTATCAATCAGGTTAGAGTAGCTAGCTTGTCTAACTATCTTAACTGGCAGGCCTGCTGGCTGGTAGTGGTTGGTAGTATTTAGAATAGCAAGCAATAACTAAATTTACAGAATTAGACTCACATTCCATTCAATCTTTTACCCAGATTTGAGCAGAGACGCAGAGAAGCATATTTCATCTGCATGCTTTCCAGCCGAAACAGTTTAGAAGAGTTTGTGCATATATTATGATGACATTTTGTGACGTTTTTGTTCGTTTATGACTTCGGTGAGGGTTTTTTAGGCTGTTCGGGCACACAACATTTTCTGGAGACAAGCCTAAATCGGTGATTGGTCAACAGTAGTGATTCTTCAATAAAGTAGTTGTTGTCATTCACCTAGAGACAATTTGTTTTCATGCAAATTTTTTTATTGAGAAATACTTCACCAAACATCTTAGTTAGATGTAAAATTGCGTGACTAAGATCTCCTCGACAAAAAACGTAAAAATGAATGACAGATATGTCTTTGATTAATTCAGATTATTTTGGGGTCATTGTCCTGTTGGAACATAAATCTTCACCCCAGTTTAAGGTCATTTGCACTCTGAATCAGGTTCTCATCATTGATTTGCCTGTATTTGGCTCCATTAATTGTTCCCTCTATCCTTACAGCGTCTCAAAATGGACAAACAGTACTTTTGCCTTTTATTTTTATTTTATTCAAGCGAAGGTCTTTTAAGGGAGTATGCAAGCACACTAGATGAGTTCGCCTAGGCGGTAGCCGAACTGAAGCATGCTGACACCTTTATGGTCGGGGGGTCTAGCCATCCTTGCGTACTTTGTGCCCCCTCAGACTTTTGGGGTGAATGATGCCCCTGAATGTCAGAGTCCGGAATATACAGTGCCTTCAGAAAGTATTCGGACCCCTTGACTTTTTCCACATTTTGTTACGTTACAGCCTTGTTTTTTCCCCCCTCATCAATCTCCACACAATACCCCATAGTGACAAAACGAAAGCAGGTTTTTATAAATTTTTCACAGTCCCTGCCGCTGAAAAACATCCCCACAGCATGATGCTGCCAACACCATGCTTCACCGTAGGGATGGTGCCAGGTTTCATCCAGAAGTGACGCTTGGCATTCAGGCCAAAGATTTCAATCTTGGTTTCATCAGACCAGAGAATCTTGTTTCTCATGGTCTGAGAGTCTTTTGGTGCCTTTTGGCAAACTCCAAGCGGGCTGTCATGTGCCTTTTACTGAAGAGTGGCTTCCGTCTGGCCACTCTACCATAAAGGCCTGATTGGTGGAGTGCTGCAGAGATGGTTGTCCTTCTGGAAGGTTCTCCCATCTCCACAGAGGATCTCTAGAGCTCTTTCAGAGTGATCCTCGGGTTCTTGGTCACCTCCCTGACCAAGGCCCTTCTCCCTCTGATTGCTCAGTTTGGCAGGGCATCCAGCTCTAGGAAGAGTCTTGGTGGTTCCAAACTTCTTCCATTTAAGAATGATGGAGGCCACTGTGTTCTTGGGGACCTTCAATGCTGCAGAATTTTTTCCATAGATCTGTGCCTCAACACAATCCTGTCTCGGAGCTCTATTTCAGTTTTTTGTTTTTAATACATTTGCAAAAATGTCTTAAAGCCTGTTTTTGCTTTGTCATTATGGGGTATTGTCTGTAGATTGCTGAGAACTTCTATTTGTTTAATGCATTTTAGAATAAGGCTTTAACTTAACAAAATGTGGGGAAAAGTAAAGGGGTCTGAATACTTTCCGAAGGCACTGTAAATGTATATGTATGTGAATAGTTTATATAGACAGTATATGAATAGAATAGAAAAGGTGTGTACAGCAATAGTTATATAGGATGAGCCATGACTAGAATACAATGTATACATATAAAGTGGGTATAACAGTACAGTAGATGCTTATTTTACACGTTTCTATAGTTTATTAAATTACAGTATGTCGGCATTGTGTTATTTATACACTTTAATTTACTAAATCATGTACACTACATGGCCAAAAGTAGGTGGACACCCCTTCAAATTAGTGGGTTTGGCTATTTCAGCCACATCCGTTGCTGACAGGTGTATAAAATCGAGCACACAGCCATGCAATCTCCTTAGACAAACATTGGCAGTAGAATGGCCCGTACTGAAGAGCTCAGTGACTTTCAACATGGCACCGTCATAGGATGCCACCTGCTAGAGCTGCCCCAGTCAACTGTAATTGCTGTTATTGTAAAGTGGAAACGTCTAGGAGCAACAACTGCTCAGCTGCGAAGTGGTAGGCCACACAAGCTCACAGAACGGACCACCGAGTGCTGAAGCGCGTAACTTGTAAAAATAGTTTGTCCTCAGTTGCAACACTCACTACTAAGTTCCAAACTGCCTCTGGAAGCAATGTCAGCACAATAACTGTTAGTCGGGAGCTTCATGAAATGGGTTTCCATGGCCGAGCAGCCGCACACAAGCCTAAGATCACTATGCACAATGCCAAGCGACAGCTGGAGTGGTGTAAAGCTCGCTGCCATTGGACTCAGGAGCAGTGGAAACATGTTCTCTGGAGTGATGAATAACACTTCACCGTCTGGCAGTCCGAGGGACAAATCTGGGTTTGGCGTATGCCAGGAGAACGCTACCTGCCCAAATGCATAGTGCCAACTGTAAAGTGGTGGAGGAGGAATAATGTTCTGGGGCTGTTTTTCATGGTTTGGGCTAGGCCCCATTGTTACAGTGAAGGGAAATCTTAACGCTACAGCATACAATGACATTCTAGACCATTCTGTGCTTCCAACTTTGTGGCAACAGTTTGGGGAAGGACCTTTCCTGTTTCAACATGACAATGCCCCCATGCACAAAGCAAGGTCCATACAGAAATGGTTTGTCGGGATTGTTGTGGAAGAACAACATCAGTGCCCGACCTCACTAATGCTCTTGTGGCTGAATGGAAGCAAGTCCCTGCAGCAATGTTCCAACATCTAGTGGAAAGCCTTCCAAGAAGAGTGGAGGCTGTTATAACAGCAAAGGGGGGGGACCACCCCATTTTAATGCCCATGATTTGGCCTGGTTAGGAGGGAGGCCGGGAAGAAGGGAGGGAGGGAGGGAGGTGAGGGAGGGAGGGAGGGAGGTGAGGGAGGGAATGATGACGGCCATAACGTGAGGGAAAACTTGTCTGTTTGCAAACCGAATAGTTGTCACCTTTTTTTTGTAAAGTGATGAATGAAGGACTTTGTTTCCTGCCCTGGCGGGATGGCCAACTTATTTTTTACACAAGTCAGCTGGGTCCGGATGAAAGATAAACATTTAATCTCGGGGGATAATGCGGAATAACTGCCAGAGCTGGCGGTGGTATACAGTTTGTTGAAAGCCAGATGCTGATGATTCGCTCCAGAGGCGGGAGACTGGCTGGTGCCCCAAAGCAGAATCTAATCAGGACTGGAGGCCCACTTTGATGATGGAGCTTACTGGCCCCTACAGAAAGGAGTGTGTGTGTGTGTGTGTGTGTGTGTGTGTGTGTGTGTGTGTGTGTGTGTGTGTGTGTGTGTGTGTGTGTGTGTGTGTGTGTGTGTGTGTGCGTGTGAATGTGAATGTGTTTCATAACACACAGACACCATAAATTATTTAAATAATACGTCTACAGTATATAGTGTGACCCAATTGTGTAACAAGCAATATGTTACCTACTGTAAGACCCAGAGAGTGCTAAGGAATCTTTGGTGGCAGTCAGTTTCACTCCTGCACTGGTACACCCCTACCACAAGACACTATACAGATAAGCTTATACAGTAAAGTCCATGTAAACTGCCCCCCATTCCCCCACCCAACCACTAGTGCCAGGAACATGGCAAATTGCTCTGCAAATTGTTGCAAGGGTGACAGAGCCATGCCACAAACTCCAAGCCACAGTCATTATGGGTTTTAAAAAGTGGAAAATTATAGCGTGTTTATAGGCAATGTTGAGAGGGCCATTTTTCAGAGATCCTTTAATATTTGATTGCTTGCCAACCAACCACATGCAATTCTTGTGGACTATCTTTATTCTGGTACACTGGAATGTCCTCGCACGTCAATCATCAAAACGTATGCACAAACCCATTACTCACCCAAAACATTACCAGACGTGTCAGTCTGCTTCTGTGAAGCGGTCCATTCTGAACTGACACCAGTAATTAATACAACATTGTTCAGTATTCTACCCTGTTGTTCTGATGCCTTATTGAATCTTAACTTAACCCTCCCGTTGTCCTAGGGTCAAAATGACCCGCCACTGTGTTGAACCAACTTTATTTAATTTTTATATTTTTGGGATCATTTGTGAGAAGGAGGCAGTGAGACTTTAAAGAAAGTATCACTGCCTCCTTCTCACAAATGATCCAAAAAATATACAAATTAAATAAAGTTGGTTCAACACAGTGACGGGTCATTTTGACCCTAGGACAACGGGAGGGTTAACTTAACTCACTCTACCCCTTCTCTTGTCTTTCACAGAGACTGAACTTGGTGATCAGAACCGGGTGCTTGCCAGCCATGGCTCCAACGTCACTCTACCATGCCGGCTCCACCGCCAGCATGGGATATCCTTCGGCAGCGTGGGCATGAGAATCAAATGGACCAAGCTGTCTGCGGACGAGTCTCTGGAGGAGGATATCTTGGTGTCCATGGGATTCCACAAAAAGAGCTACGGCAGCTTCCAGGGCCGCGTCCACCTGCTGGAGGCCAACGATGACGACGCCTCACTGGTCCTCAGCGATGTGTCCCTAGACGACATGGGAAAGTTCCGTTGTGAGGTCATTGATGGCATTGATGATGTCATCCATGAGGTTACCTTGGAGGTGCTAGGTAGTGTAGGCTACAGCGATGGTAAATCCTTCTATCTTTACTTCTGCCACCAGCTCTGCGATGGCCGTCATCTCATCATCCTGCACTTCCTCATCACCCCCCTCCATTTTATCTTGTCTTTTTGTTGATGTTATACTTTACCTTGTAAATAGAGAGGAGTTTTTCCAGACCAAGTGGCCTGACCTGCAGGGGTCATTTAGCAGACGCTCTTATAAGGTTAAGTGCCTTGCTCAAGGGCACATCGACAGATTTCCCCCCCAACCTAGTCGGCTCTGGGATTTGAACCAACGACCTTTCGGTTACTGGCCCAACGCTCTTAAGCGCTAGGCTCCCTGCCGCCCTAGTCCTACCCATGAACTACTCTCTGGTGGAAATTAATGGTTTCAAGACCAGAGCCAATAAATATATTTCACGGACTGGCTGTTCCCTTATTTTCAACACCTCACCACCACATTATTGATTTCTTTGTAGAGAGACAAAAGACGAAAGACATCTTTTGTTCATTTATTCAAATTTTGTGCTGAGTACATTCACGCAGTCTTACACTGCAGTAAACTAAAACACATTTTCCGTCTGAACTAATACCTACTCCACATCTATCCAGACATCCTCCTTACTCATACCATTTGTATAATGATGAAATAAGTCCTGTTCTTCCTTTTAACATGTGGAACAAATACAACCACATGGCAAATCATCTATCGGTTAAACTGAGTCAGCCTAAATGCATCCAATACTATTACATGGTCCTCGTTCCTATCTGGGCCAAGACCGCCAAGAACGCCTGAGCAGATTTGGCTCTTGGGTAAGAAAAGGGATCTTTAACAGAAATAAACTAGTTCGCTAGCCATAATGAAAACATGCTGGTACAACTAGCCATTGTTAACATTGGAACAAAATAGTCCAATAAAAAACCTCAATGCTGGTTGTGATTTTCCTCAAAGTACCGGTTATCAAATCAAATGTTATCTTGGTGTCGGCTGTACACATCTGACAGTCCAGCACTCTCGTACTTAGGCTACCATGGGATGCAGGGTTTTGTAACAGATGCAACTACAGATGCTGATATAGCAATGCCAGGCTAATCTACTGTCTTACAGTATGAAAAATGTATGCACTAACTGTAAGTCGCTCTGGATAAGAGCGTCTGCTAAATGACTCAAATGTAAATGTAATGGTTCCTGCTTTATCGGCTCCTAGTCGTTTCTTAACCATTCCCAAAGGGTAAAGAGACAAGGTGCTGATTTGTCTTGGGATAAACAGGCAGTGGTCAAATACCATCCTCTCTGTTAGCTACAGTAGCAGTGACACAAAGCAAAGACGGGGGTTGAATGCAAATGTCTTACTCAGGCCATTTACGATTGAAAGAAATTAAGGGGTGGCTCTCCCATAGGCATCAATGCAATAGCATCTGGGTCTGGTCTACTTAGTTCATTGACTGTACATGAACCAGAAAAAATTTGGGAGTGGAATGTCTCGCTTCCTCTTACGTCTCTGACACAAAGTACATTCATGAAGGCTGAAGAAGTGCTGTTGAGGTCCAATTCTGTGCTCTCCAAGAACATGTCAACAATCACCAGAGCCTGATGATAGCCACCTTCCCCTCAGGGTTTTCACATTTGGGTGGAGGCTGGACACATAAAATACTGAACAGGACAATAGACCAGCAAAGTCTGAGTCAAGGGAATTAATTCCATTACAGAACCATCCCACTCAAGGTGCTGTTTTACAGCTGTTAATGACATAACTGAACCACCCAATGATTGACACCAGAAGTTCCATTTGCGGGACACAGTTGATCAATATAATGGAATGTACAAGTTGTTCTGGTCTAACATACTTACATACATCTTAATTTGAGCCAGTTTGCTACAGCAGGAAAATAATCCTGCAGCAACAGGAAATGTGAATTATGATGTGGATTTTAATTAATGGACATTTTTGTAGGGGTTGATACATTTTTCGTAATGAAAAATCAGGTCTGACATTTCAAAGTAGAAATCACAAACTTCAGAGGCCCTTTTAAACCTCAAATACACTACATGTTTTAGATTTCCTGCATTGCAGGAAATATCTCCAGCAACAGGGTGATCAAATTAAGGTCCTGCATCTGTAGCTTGGCAGTTGCAGGCTAATTAAAACATGAACATCTTGTTTGGTAAAAACAGCAGAGATCACACCTACCTTGCGTGAGATGAATCTCCCTTCCCTGCTGAGTGGCAGACAGCCACAAAATTAGGCAGTTAGCGAAGTCTGGAATTTCTCTGTCTCTCTGGAGATGGCTGCTCTTTTAACGCTCACCAGGAGCCGCAAGACCAAGAAGAGTAATGGCTTACACTCACTAACTTATACTATCAGATCATATGTCAGAAACCCCCATTCCCTCATCACTGGTCCGGTCTAGACCCAGGACCACACACATTCTTCATCCCACTGGATGTCTGGGTCTGTAAACCGACAGTAGGACGAGTGTGTAAAACAGAAATCCAAAATTCTCTCTTCCATACGCATTCTGAAACTGGAATTACAAACACAGTGCCACTGGTTGAAAGGAAGAATGGTCTGTATTCAGTTTAGAGTAATATACGTCACCTACAGTATGTTTTATGTGTATCTGTATGCTTTCATTTACAGTATATTTCTATCTACTGTATGTACAGTGAGGGGAAAGGGTATTTGATCCCCTGCTGATTTTTTACGTTTGCCCACTGACAAAGAAGTGATCAGTCTATGATTTTAATGGTAGGTTTATTTGAACAGTGAGAGACAGAATAACAACAACAAAATCCAGAAAAACGCATGTCAAAAAGGAGGTTATAAATTGTTTTGCATTTAATGAGGGAAATAAGTATTTGACCCCCTCTCAATCAGAAAGATTTCTGGTTCCCAGGTGTCTTTTATACAGATAACGAACTGAGATTAGGAGCACACTCTTAAAGGGAGTGCTCCTAATCTCAGCTTGTTACCTGTATAAAAGACACCTGTCCACAGAAGCAATCAATCAATCAGATTCCAAACTCTCCACCATGTACAAGACCAAAGAGCTCTCCAAGGATGTCAGGGACAAGATTGTAGACCTACACGGCTGGAATGGGCTACAAGACCATTGCCAAGCAGCTTGGTGAGAAGGTGACAACAGTTGGTGCGATTATTCGCAAATGGAAGAAGCACAAAATAAATGTCAATCTCCCTCGGCCTGGGGCACCATGCAAGATCTCACCTCGTGGAGTTGCAATGATCATGAGAACGGTGAGGAATCAGCCCAGAACTACACGGGAGGATCTTGTCAATGATCTCAAGGCAGCTGAGACCATAGTCACCAAGAAAACAATTGGTAACACACTACGCCATGAAGGACTGAAATCCTGCAGCACCCGCAAGGTCCCCCTGCTCAAGAAAGCACATATACATGCCCGTCTGAAGTTTGCCAATGAATATCTGAATGATTCAGAGGAGAACTGGGTGAAAGTGTTGTGGTCAGATGAGACCAAAATTGAGCTCTTTGGCATCAACTCAACTCACCGTATTTGGAGGAGGAGGAATGCTGCCTATGACCCCAAGAACACCATCCCCACTGTCAAACATGGAGGTGAAAACATAATGCTTTGGGGGTGTTTTTCTGCTAAGGGGACAGGACAACTTCACCGCATCAAAGGGACGATGGATGGGGCCATGTACCGTCAAATCTTGGGTGAGAACCTCCTTCCCTCAGCCAGGGCATTGAAAATGGGTCATGGATGGGTATTCCAGCCTGACAATGACCCAAAACACACGGCCAAGGCCACAAAAGAGTGGCTCAAGAAGAAGCACATTAAGGTCCTGGAGTGGCCTAGCCAGTCTCCAGACCTTAATCCCATAGAAAATCTGTGGAGGAAGCTGAAGGTTCGAGTTGCCAAACGTCAGCCTCGAAACCTTAATGACTTGGAGAAGATCTGCAAAGAGGAGTGGGACAAAATCCTTCCTGAGATGTGTGCAAACCTGGTGGCCAACTACAAGAAATGTCTGACCTCTGTGATTGCCAACAAGGGTTTTGCCACCAAGTACTAAGTCATGTTTTGCAGAGGGGTCAAATACTTATTTCCCTCATTAAAAAGCAAATCAATTTATAACATTTTTGACATGCGTTTTTCTGGATTTTTTTGTTGTTATTCTGTCTCTCACTGTTCAAATAAACCTACCATTAAAATTATAGACTGATCATGTCTTTGTCAGTGGGCAAACGTACAAAATCAGCAGGGGATCAAATATTTTTTTCCCTCACTGTATGTCTATCCCTGTTCTCTCCTCTCCGCACAGGCTATACAACCTTCTCACACCGCGTGGCTGCTGCCACTCTAACCTGGTGGTCCCTGCACGCATGACCCACGTGGAGTTCCAGGTCTCCGGCAGCCTCTGGAACTGCCGTTTTGCGGCCAACAAGGCAGAGTTCATCTCAGCCTATGCTACCCTCCAGTCCCTCGACTTCTTGGCGCTGACAGAAACATGGATTACCACAGAAAACACTGCTACTCCTACTGCTCTCTCCTCGTCTGACCATGTGTTCTCGCATACCCCGAGAGCATCTGGTCAGCGGGGTGGTGGCACAGGAATCCTCATCTCTCCCTAGTGGACATTCTCTCTTTCTCCCCTGACCCATCTGTCTATCTCCTTATTTGAATTCCATGCTGTCACAGTCACTAGCCCATTCAAGCTTAACATCCTTATCATTTATCGCCCTCCAGGTTCCCTTCGAGAGTTCATCAATGAGCTTGACGCCTTGATAAGTTCCTTTCCTGAGGATGGCTCACCCCTCACAGTTCTGGGTGACTTGATCCTCCCTACGTCTACCTTTAACTAATTTCTCTCTGCCTCCTTCTTTCCACTCCTCTCCTCTTTTGACCGCACCCTCTCACCGTCCCCCCCTACTCACAAGGCAGGCAATACGCTTGACCTCATCTTTACTAGATGCTGTTCTTCTACTAATCTCACTGCAACTCCCCTCCAAGTCTCCGACCACTACTTTGTATCATATTCTCTTTCGCTCTCCTCCAACACTACTCACTCTGCCACTACTCAGATGGTAATGCGCCGTCGCAACCTTCGCTCTCTCTATCCCGCTACTCTCTCCTCTTCCATCCTATCATCTCTTCCCTCTGCTCAATTCTTCTCCCTCCAATCTCCTGATTCTGCCTCCTCAACCCTCCTCTCCTCCCTTTCTGCATCATTTGACTCTCTATGTCTCCTATCCTCCCGGCCGGCTCGGTCCTCCCCTCCTGCTCCGTGGCTTGACGAATCATTGCGAGCTCACAGAACAGGAAATGGAGGAAAACTAGACTCCCTGCGGACCTGGCATCTTTCTGCCTCTGTTTCTGCTGCTAAAGCCACTTTCTACCACTCTAAATTCCAAGCATCTGCCTCTAACCCTAGGAAGCTCTTTGCCACTTTCTCCTCCCTGCTGAATCCTCCCCCCTCTCTGTGGATGACTTCATCAACCATTTTGAAAAGAAGGTTGACGACATCCTATGCTTTGACTTCTTTCTCCCCTCTCTCTCCAGATGAAATCTTGCGACTTGTGACGGCCGGCCGCCCAACAACCTGCCCGCTTGACCCTATCTCCTCTTCTCTTCTCCAGACCATTTCCGGAGACCTTCTCCCTTACCTCACCTCGCTCATCAACTCATCCTTGACCGCTGGCTATGTCCCTTCTGTCTTCAAGAGAGCAAGAGTTGCACCCCTTCTCAAAAAACCTACACTCGATCCCTCCGATGTCAACAACTACAGACCAGTATCCCTTCTTTCTTTTCTCTAAAAAACTCTTGAGTCTTGCTATCTCTTTTAGAATGACCTTCTTGATCCAAACCAGTCAGGTTTCAAGACTGGTCATTCAACTGAGACTGCTCTTCTCTGTGTCACGGAGGCTCTCCTCCCTGCTAAAGCTAACTCTCTCTCCTCTGCTCTCGTCCTTCTAGACCTATCTGCTGCCTTTGATACTGTGAACCACCAGATCCTCCTCTCCACCCTCTCCGAGTTGGGCATCTCCAGTGCGGCTCACTCTTGGATTGCGTTCTACCTGACAGGTCGCTCCTACAAGGTGGCGTGGCGAGAATCTGTCTCCGCACCACGTGCTCTCACCACTGGTGTCCCCCAGGGCTCAGTTCTAGGTCCTCTCCTATTCTCGCTATACACCAAGTCACTTGGTTCTGTCATATCCTCACATGGCCTCTCCTATCATTGCTACGCAGACGACACACAATTCATCTTCTCCTTTCCCCCTTCTGATAACCAGGTGGCGAATCGCATCTCTGCATGTCTGGCAGACATATCAGTGTGGATGACGGATCACCACCTCAAGCTGAACCTCAGCAAGACGGAGCTGCTCTTCCTCCCGGGGAAGGACTGCCCGTTCCATGATCTCGCCATCACGGTTGACAACTCCATTGTGTCCTCCTCCCAGAGTGCAAAGAGCCTTGGCGTGATCCTGGACAACACCCTGTCGTTCTCCGCTAACATCAAGGCAGTGACGCGATCCTGTAGGTTCATGCTCTACAACATTCGCAGAGTACGACCCTGCCTTACACAGGAAGCGGCACAGGTCCTAATCCAGGCACTTGTCATCTCCCGTCTGGATTACTGCAACTCGCTGTTGTCTGGGCTCCCTGCCTGTGCCATTAAACCCCTACAACTCATCCAGAATGCCGCAGCCCGTCTGGTGTTCAAACTTCCCATGTTCTCTCAAGTCACCCCGCTCCTCCGCACACTCCACTGGCTTCCAGTTGAAGCTCGCATCTGCTACAAGACCATGGTGCTTGCCTACGGAGCTGTGAGGGGAACGGCACCTCCGTACCTTCAGGCTCTGATCAGTCCCTACACCCAAACGAGGGCATTGCGTTCATCCACCTCTGGCCTGCTGGCCCCCCTACCTCTGCGGAAGCACAGTTCCCGCTCAGCCCAGTCAAAACTGTTTGCTGCTCTGGCACCCCAATGGTGGAACAAGCTCCTTCACGACGCCAGGACAGCGGAGTCACTCACCACCTTCCGGAGACACTTGAAACCCCACCCTTTTAAGGAATACCTGGGATATGATAAAGTAATCATTCTACCCCCCCCCCCTTACCCCACCCCAAAGCGAAAAATAAAATAAAAAATATTGTAAAGTGGTTGTCCCACTGGCTATCATAAGGTGAATGCACCAATTTGTAAGTCGCTCTGGATAAGAGCGTCTGCTAAATGACGAAAATGTAAAATGTAAAATGTTATACATTTATTTGCATTTTAATGAGGGAAATAAGTATTTGACCCCTCTGCAAAACATGACTTAGTACTTGGTGGCAAAACCCTTGTTGGCAATCACAGAGGTCAGATGTTTCTTGTAGTTGGCCACCAGGTTTGCACACATCTCAGGAGGGATTTTGTCCCACTCCTCTTTGCAGATCTTCTCCAAGTCATTAAGGTTTCGAGGCTGATGTTTGGCAACTCAAACCTTCAGCTTCCTCCACAGATTTTCTATTGGATTAAGGTCTGGAGACTGGCTAGGCCACTCCAGGACCTTAATGTGCTTATTCTTGAGCCACTCCTTTGTTGCCTTGGCCGTGTGTTTTGGGTCATTGTCCTGCTGGAATACCCATCCACAACCCATTTTCAATGCCCTGGCTGAGGGAAGGAGGTTCTCACCCAAGATTTGACGGTACATGGCCCCGTCCATCGTCCCTTTGATGCGGTGAAGTTGTCCTGTCCCCTTAGCAGAAAAACACCCCCAAAGCATAATGTTTCCACCTCCATGTTTGACAGTGGGGATGGTGTGGGGCAGCATTCCTCCTCCTCCAAACACGGCGAGTTGAGTTGATGCCAAAGAGCTCGATTTTGGTCTCATCTGACCACAACACTTTCACCCAGTTCTCCTCTGAATCATTCAGATGTTCATTGGCAAACTTCAGACGGGCATGTAAATGTGCTTTCTTGAGCAGGGGGACCTTGCGGGCGCTGCAGGATTTCAGTCCTTCACGGCGTAGTGTGTTACCAATTGTTTTCTTGGTGACTATGGTCCCAGCTGCCTTGAGATCATGGACAAGATCCTCCCATGTAGTTCTGGGCTGATTCCTCACCGTTCTCATGATCATTGCAACTCCACGAGGTGAGATCTTGCATGGAGCCCCAGGCCGAGGGAGATTGACAGTTCTTTTATGTTTCTTCCATTTGCGAATAATCGCACCAACTGTTGTCACCTTCTCACCAAGCTGCTTGGCGATGGTCTTGTAGCCCATTCCATCCTTGTGTAAATCTACAATCTTGTCCCTGACATCCTTGGAGAGCTCTTTGGTCTTGGCCATGGTGGAGAGTTTGGAATCTGATTGACTGATTGCTTCTGTGGACAGGTGTCGTTGACACAGGTAACATACTTAGATTAGGAGCACTCCCTTTAACAGTGTGCTCCTAATCTCAGCTCGTTACCTGTATAAAAAGACACCTGGGAGCCAGAAATCTTTCTGATTGAGAGGGGGTCAAATACTTATTTCCCTCATTAAAATGCAAATCAATTTATAACATTTTTGACATGAGTTTTTCTGGATTTTTCTGTTGTTATTCTGTCTCTCACTGTTCAAATAAACCTACCATTAAAATTATAGACTGATCATTTCTTTGTCAGTGGGCAAACGTACAAAATCACCCGGGGATCAAATACTTTTTTCCCTCACTGTATATAACATGCGTAACTATGCAATGGGTTTCTATCCACTGTGGTGATTACATTAAAGACATAAAATAAACATTAATGTAAGGATACATTCAAAATAGCACATGTCATAAAAAGGATAAAAACAATTTTCTGACTTGTTAAAAGAGAACAATTCATCTTACATTATACAATGGGTGGGTCTACTCCTGAATGCTGATTGGTTAAAACCGCATCCCAACCGGTGTCTATTCCACAAGTTACTGCCCGGCTAAAGCTATGACGTTGAAATGCCTATTCACTGTTCTATCTGACTGCGCAATCCTCTGTCTCATCAGCCCAGCTAGGCAATTCATAAACTTAATCTCCACTATAAAAAGTATTTAGACGTTATCTCCCATTTCTTTTGGACTAACATTTGGTTTTCAACAGCGGAGATTTGTATTAACCTGTCTCTCCGAAATTTGCAACATTGTTTCAATATTGAAATTCGATCTCCAGCTGTCCTATAGTAATGAACATGTCAGGAGTTGGGACAAGCCAGTTGAAATCATGAATCAAAATTATTTACATGGATATGTACAAAGAATGTCAATAAAAAAACACGAAACACAACTAGTTTGCTGTCATTCCAGCTTCAGTTTGAAATGATTGTGTTAGCTGTGTAGTTGGCTAGCTCCTCTGAACAGTGGCCTGGCAAGAAAGCAAATGTTCTATGCCAGGCGAAATCGTGCATCATTAGTTCATTGTTATGGATGCATCCCCCAAAAAAGTACTAGAAAACAGCTTAAACAAACGCAAATGCAGCTACTTTGCTGTTATTCTGGGTGCACTGTTTGACGTGACTGTGTTAGCCGAAGTTGGCTAGCTAGCAAGCAAGGCATAAGAACGTTGCCAGCCATCATGGCAACGGAACATTTAGAACAAACGACTGGGTCTCGTCCATAGATTTAGAACAAAAATACTTAATGACTGGGTCGCATCTCTGGCAACCGAACCGATAGAACGAACAAATAAATTAAACAAAATAACGTTTTTAATGAAAATATGTCAATCATTATTTGAATATGTTGTTAACCCGTTATATAAACGTGATAATGCCCTCAAAGTCAGTTGTTTGGAGGATATATTGGCACGGTTTGCCGGGCCCTCGACGAAACAACACCCTTGCCAATATATCCTCCAAACACTGGCTTCTCTGGCATTTTCACTTAAATAGAATAGTGAGTTACGTTGGCATTTTCCTGAGTGGGAGCTCCATTCAGCGTAAGAGCCAAATGCACTACTGTCTAACATTAACCCCAGCTCCTTTCTCATTCCCAGGTGTGGTGTTCCCTTACTCCCCACGGCTGGGCCGATACAACCTCAACTTCCACGATGCCGAGCAGGCTTGCCTGGACCAGGACTCTGTGGTGGCCTCCTTCGACCAGCTCTATAAGGCCTGGAGGAGTGGCATGGACTGGTGCAATGCTGGCTGGCTGAACGACGGGTCCGTGCAGTACCCCATCACCAAACCCAGAGGGCCCTGTGGAGGTGCCAATGCCGGGGCGGGCCTGAGGAACTACGGCCAGCGTGAAAAGTCCAAGAGCCACTACGATGTCTTCTGCTTCACCTCTGGCCTCAAGGGTGAGTTGGTGTCTCCTTCGTGTGCAGTGTGTTATGTGTCATTAAGACACAATTATTCAAGTAGCAGAAATAGATGGACATACATTACAGTAGGCCAGAGTTCATCAACATTTCTAATTGACCTTTTTGTAAAGTGAGGCAGAAGGCCCCCAACCCAACCCAAATCTTCTGTTGACTTTTGGCCGTCTTCTCCTCTCTGACCCCAGGTCGTTTCTACTGGCTGGTGCAACCCGACAAGCTGACGTTCGCAGAGGCTGTTCAGGCATGCCAGGATGACGGGGCTGAGATCGCCAATGTGGCCCAGATGTACGCTGCCTGGAAGCTGAACAGTTATGACCGCTGCGACTCTGGCTGGCTGGCTGACGGCAGCGTCCGCTACCCCATCTCCAGACCCCGCAGGAACTGCAGCCCGACAGAGGCGGCTGTGCGCTTCGTGGGATTCCCCGACAAGAAGCAAAAGCTCTTTGGTGTCTACTGCTTCAAGGGCCAGCAGTGAAGAGGGAATGCCAGGACTTAGCCCTGAGCACAAAATCAACATAACCACCAAAGAAAAACAACAACGACAACAACAACAACAATTACACCAATGCATGCCGGGAATTAATTTGCATGAACTAGCATGAGCTCATTACCTTACCAAAACTGTGATAACCTTTTTTTTTTATTCTTACCAACCATGAATATTGTAAAAACTCATTTTCATACTGCAATTATCAAAATGTATTTTGTAAGCTGAAACAAGAGATATTCCTTAACATTTTCAGTCATGTAATATGTTGGTCATATAATAACACAGCACTATGGTTGAAATTGTGACAGAGACAAGGACTGGATGAGTTACATCATCCTCGTTTGTTTTGTCCTCCACAGATTGAGTGTGTGAAGAAATAATTATTCGAGTGTTTATGCTCCATTTGACGAGGGAATGGTTTTTAAGTTTAAAAAAATTGTCTGTGACAAAATGCATCACGTCTAACTAACATGCATATCAAGCAATTTATGGGCTAAATGGCATTAACATAATAACCACTGTTTGACTATGGCAGTTCTGTTTTCAGTAACACTTGCACAGTAATGCTACAACAAACTACGACAGACAAATAACAACAACAACAACAAAATCACGTTTTAATCCCCATTTCAAGTGACTCTCCATCTGACATTTCACAAAGGACATTCAAGTTAGCTAGCTAACTTTCCTGTATGTCCTGAAACGGTGAACTACACCCATAGAAAAAAGGGTTCCAAAAGGGTTATTTGGCTGTCCCCATAGGAGAACCCTTTTTGGTTCCAGGTAGAACCCTTTTTGGTTCCAGGTAGAACTCTTTTGGGTTCCATATAGGACTCTCTGGGGAAAGGGTTTTACATGGAACCCAAAAAGGGTTCTTCAAAGTGTTTTCCTATGGGGCAGCCGAAGAACCGTTTTAGGTTCTAGATAGCACCTTGTTTTCTAAGAGTATATGATATTGTTCCAAAGTTTCAGAAAGTTTCAGAAAAGTTTATCTACTAACTTATAGACCCTTCTCTCTGAAAAAAAACGTGTTTTTGCAAGTGATACTTTAATAATACCTTTCTCTCCTCTACATCTAAATACTTCCTTCCCCCTCTTACTAAGAATCCTTTGGGGTGCTTTTCAACTTTATGAACTGTGATCCGATCTTTTAAAATGTCTGTTTAAGGCATACCATGAATGTATGTGTCCCGGACTGTCACCCCTCTTCATAGATAGTTTAGATCAATAGATAATCAAAAGTCATTCTGAGCAATTATTGTAACTAATATAACCCTTTTTGTTATTTTTTACAAAGGGTTTGCATTGCCTTTTTCTAATGTTCTTTTTATGTCAGTGTGTGGCATATTGCTTGGTCAAATTGTTTTGAATTGTTTTTTTTTGTAACTCTTTTGAGAGAATCTTAATATGTACTCCCCACACTTGCCCCTCACCAAAACCTTACTTAGTGTACCGTATCATATTGGACAAAATTCTCAGATTGAAATCGCAACAATTCCTGGGTATAATTTCAGCTAAATGTCAGTGAAGGAAAAATCTCAACGTACTGTAGATTTGATTGTACGACATCACTTAAGTTATGAGCTGCAAACACAGGGCTTACATTGCACTTCTCAGGGCATCCGACTTCCTTTAAGCCCCCGTTGCTAGTGTGCAACAGTGCCTAAAGCCAGGTGACCGATTTGGTTGATCCATCCAGGCCCCCCAAGATCCGCTTTAAGAATTTCCAATTGGATCATTTTGGAAAAACAATGTTGAGCAGTTTTTGTCTTCACACGCAAATCAATGAAACACAGGGTCTGACTTAAATCCTGACTTGAAGAGGTTGGTCCAGTCCAGACTCAAAGAGCAAAAAATCACAAAGTATTTGCAACCAATTTTAACTAACACTTGAGATTAGCCTCCTGTGAAGTTTATTCTGGCATGATAACAATATTATCATGGTCCAAGGGCAGTAACCAGAGTTATTTTATATGCATTGCAAATATAAAGTGGTAAAAAAGAAAGCGACTAGAAATACCACTTGACTTCTATATGTCTCTATATGTTAAATGTTTTACAGTGTTCTCTCAGCATTAGAACACTAAAATGGGCCCATTGGACATGTAGGAGGTTGACAATTGAGAGCTGTGTTGACTATAGCCACAACCACTAGCCTATTGGAGCCAATGTTGGCCAGTAAAACTGAACATACAAATGATGGAGGTCATCTTTATTTTCTTTTTGTGTTGTATTTAGGCTTACCTTTCTCTCTCTCTCCTAGATGGCATTGACACAGGTAGCATGTGGTTATTTGGTTGAACCTGGTTTAGTAACTGCAGTTACATAAAATACTCTTAAATAGACTGACTTTTCTAAAGCATGATACACATAATTGGTGTTTTTCACCTTTGTATGCGCACAACCTTCGGTGGAGGTATTTTTTGTATTCTAATGCCATTTACCTTTTTGAACAAAAGACCGAACTGAAAATAAAAACTTGGTAAAAAACGTTTGACTCTGTGACTTTCTCCCCTCCATTTAAGGGTAGTTCTGTGTATTTCTGTTATTGTTTGATCTGGACCAACATAAATGGATTATGTTTCTACTTTCTATAAATTTCGGAGGTTGCCCTTGGTGCAGTAGAAAGCTGCTGGCAGGAGCATAGGAGTTGGCAAATGAAGGGCACTCTCTCCTGTCTCCATTTTCAGTGTACAATGGAGTTTTTTGTTGAAAGTAAATTGCCTATATAAGGCTTTAATACTGCATGTGTACCAAAAACTAGGATACAAATGTAGGGATCGATATAAAAAAGATTCCACTTGCAAAGACTCATTCAGAAACCAGTTTCAAATCAATATTTTGTGATATGAAAATGTGCAACCCTGGTATTGATTTAATGATAGTCTATAAAGTGTGGAGGAGGTTTGTGTGATCCATAAGACATTCAAGACCAGGCCTATAGGTAACCTGTCTAAATGACTATCGCCCCGTAGCACTCACATCTGTAGCAATGAAATGCTTTCAAAATACTGGTGATGGCTCACATCAACACCATCATCCCAGACAACCTGGACCCACTCCAATTCGCGTACCACCCCAACAGATCCACAGATGACGCAATCTCAATTGCACTCCACACTGCCCTTTCTGGACAAAGGAACACTTACATGAGAATGGTGTTCATTGACTACAGCTCAGCGTTCAACACCATGGTGCCCTCCAAGCTCATCACTAAACTAAGGACCCTGGGAATAAACACCACCCTCTGCGACTGGATCCTGAAACTTCCTGACGAGTCGCCCCCAGGTGGTGAGGGTAGGCAACAACACATCCGCCATGCTGACCCTCAATGCGGGGTCCCCTCAGGGGTGCATGCTTAGTCCCCTCCTGCACCCCCTGTTCACCCAGGACTGCGTGGCCGCGCACGACTCCAACTCCGTTATTAAGTTTGCTGATGACACAACGTTGATAGGCCTGATCACCAAAGAAGATGAGACAGCCTATAGGGAGGAGGTCAGAGACATGGCAGTGTGGTGCCAGGACAACAACCTCTCCCTCAACGTCAGCAAGACAAATGAGCTGATCGTGAACTACAGGATACGGAGGGCCAAGCACGACCCCATCCACATCAACGGGGCTGTAGTGGAGCAGGTCGAGAGCTTCAAGTTCCTCTATGTCCACATCACTAAGGACCTATCATGGTCCACACACAACAACACAGTCGTAAAGAGGGCACGACAACGCCTCTTCCCACTCAGGAGGCTGAAAAGATTTGGCTTGGGCCCTCAGATCTTCAAAAAGTTATACAACTGCACCATTGAGAGCATCTTGACTGGCTGCTTCACTGTTTGGTATGGCAACTGCTTGGCATTCGACCGCAAGGCGGTACAGAGGGTAGTGCGCATGGCCCAGTACATCACTGGGGCCAAGCTCCCTGCCATCCAGGACCTCTATACCAGGCGGTGTCAGAGGAAGGCCCTAAAAATTGTCAAAGACTCCAGCCACCCAAGTCATAGACTGTTCTCTCTGCTACCACACGGCAAGAGGTAACGATGCACCAAGTCTGGAACCAACAGGACCCTGAACAGCTTCTACCCACAAGCCATAAGACTGTTAAATAGTCAACCAATAGCTACCTGGACAATCTGCATGGACCCTTTTTTGCTCTTTTGACTCGTCACATACGCTGCTGTTACTGTTGATTATCTATCATGTTGACTCACATCGACTCGGTACTGGTACCCCGTGTATATAGCCAAGTTACTGTTACTCATTGTGTTTTTATTTTTCTATTATTTATCCTTTTTTCTCTCTGCATTGTTGGGAAGGGACCGTAAGTAAGCATTTCACTGTTAGTCTACACCTGTTTGTTACGAAGCATGTGACAAATACAATTTGATTTGATTTATAGAAAATACATGTATTTCCCCTTTAGCTTCCTTGTCTGTTTATATACTTCTCTATAGGAGACCTGCCAGCTGAAAAATACAGTACTTCTCTATAGGAGACCTGCCAACTGTTAATACAGTACTTCTCTATAGAAGACCTACCAACTGTTAATACAGTACATCTCTATAGGAGACCTACCAGCTGTTAATACAGTAATTCTCTATAGGAGACCTACCAGCTGTTAATGCAGTACTTCTCTATAGGAGACCTACCAGCTGTTTATATACTTCTCTATAGGAGACCTGCCAACTGTTAATACAGTACTTCTCTATAGAAGACCTACCAACTGTTAATACAGTACATCTCTATAGGAGACCTACCAGCTGTTAATACAGTAATTCTCTATAGGATACCTACCAGCTGTTAATACAGTACTTCTCTATAGGAGACCTACCAGCTGTTAATACAGTACTTCTCTATAGGAGGCCTACCAGCTGTTAATACTTCTCTATAGGAGACCAACAGCTATTAATACAGTACTTCTTTATACGAGACATACCAGCTGTTAATACAGTACTTCTCTATAGGAGACCTAACAGCTGTTAATACATTACTTCTTTATAGGAGACCTACCAGCTGTTAATACAGTACTTCTCTATAGGAGACCTACCAGCTGTTAATACTTGTCTATAGGAGACCTGCCAGCTGTTAATACTTGTCTATAGGAGACCTGCCAGCTGTTAATTCTTGTCTATAGGAGACCTGCCAGCTGTTCATACTTCTCTATAGGAGACCTACCAGCTGTTAATACTTGTCTATAGGAGACCTGCCAGCTGTTAATACTTGTCTATAGGAGACCTACCAGCTGTTAATACTCTATAGGAGACCTACCAGCTGTTAATACATGTCTATAGGAGACCTGCCAGCAGTT